GGGGTACCTGTGGCTGGCGTACTGGGCAGCTGTGGGGCTGGGGGTTTCTTATCCTCACAGAGGGGTCGTACTCTGACATGGGGGCCTTGAGGGCACCACGTCTGAGAATGTGGAAGAAATGGGGGTTCCCTGACAGCCAGGGGCGAGTGTCCTGCAGTTGGGGGCCCCCTCTAAGCCAGGTGTGAGTGGCATGGAGTTGGGGGTCCGGGGTTACTCTCCCCTCTCCCGTCCTTAGGGGGCTCCGGTTACTCTCCCACCCCCATCCCTCGGGGGTCCTGGGTCACTCTCCCCTTCCTCATCCAGGTGGGAGGGGCGCGGAGATGGGGAGTCCCCGCGGGCATGGTGGGAGGGGCGTGGAGAATGGGGATCCCCTCGGGCCAGGTGGGAGGGGCGTGGAGAAGGGGGTCCTCGCGGTCATGGAGGGAGGGGCGTGGAGAAGGGGGTCCCCTCAGGTTAGGTGGGAGGGGCGTGGATGTAAGGATCCCCTCGGGATATGTGGGAGGGGCGTGGAGAAAGGGGTCCCCGCGGGTATGGTAGGATGGGTGTGGAGAAAGGGATCCCCTTGGGGCGTGGTGATGGGCGCGGCCTGGGGACTCTCTGTGGGCGCAGGGTGGGCGCTGTGAGGTCCAGGGTACCCTGGTGTCAGCTGTGCCTTCACCTCCTAAACGGACCCCACCTCCAGGTCGCCGGGTCCCTGGCGCGCCGCAAGCTGCAGGGGGCGCCCGTGAGCTGTGCGAGGAGTTTTTTTCTTAAACCCCAGGAAGTTTCACACCCACGGGCTGGGTGCACACCCAGTGTGCTGTGGAGACCCGGGGTACCGTTTCCCAGCCTCTGTGACGCAAAAGATTGTGAAATAAAATGTTAGAAATAATCATGTGGGCATTATGGTCCAAGGTAATATTAGTAATAATAATAATAATAATGTACCCAGATCATATTGCAGTCATGTCTATCCACAGAAAATAATTACACAGTTAATTTTGTTAACTGTGAAAATCCCACCATGTCCAGCACATTCTGGGGAAAACGAAAAACCGTATTGACAGAAGTCACAGAAGAGTCGGATCGATGGGAGGAAAAAAAAAACATGGAAACCGTGTGACGTCTCTTTTTAAATATGGTAAGTTTTTGAGAAACAATTTTTTTTAAACAGCAGCAAATAGATTGTGATTTCAGATTTTTGCAGGAGTAAGTGTCATCATTTTGAAGCAATAGAAGGAACCACAGCTTCACAGACCGTGGTGCATATAAGATAAACTCCGTGTAGGCGAGTTTTGTTTCTTTCCTTGTTTTCTAATTATTTATTTATTCTTTAATTTATTTTGAGATGGAGTCTTCCTGTGTTGCAGTGGCCTGATCTCACCTCACTGCAACCTCTGCCTCCCGGGTTCAAGCGAGTCTCCTGCCTCAGCTTCCCTGAGTAGCTGGGAGCATAGTGGTGCATACCTCATATCCCAGCTACTCGGGAGGCTGAGGCAGGAGACTCGCTTGAACCCGGGAGGTGCAGGTCGCAGTGAGCCGAGATCGTTCCCCTGCACTGGAGCCTGGGAGACACAGCGAGAGTCCGTCAAAAAAAAAAAAAAAGAATTCACCATTGCAATCTTCCACCATACAGGGTGTATTAGCGATGGTTCTCTAGAGGGACAGAACTAATGTTTTATATATGTATATTCCATTTTTTATACATATATATTCCATTGTATATATATGTGATAAATACACCTTATATATATTTAATTATATGTTATATTATTCCATTATAAATATTCATTTATATTCCATTATGCTGTACACACATTATAAATATATATGTTATATATATTTCATTATATATACACCTGATATATATTCCTTTATATATATACCTTATATATATTTGATTATATATTCCATTATAAATATGCATTATTTATTCCATTTTATGTTATATATTCATTATATATACACCTTATATATCCCATTATATATATACATTAGGTATATTCCATTAAAATATGCATTATATATTCCATCATATATGTTATATATATTCCATTATATATACCCCTTATATATATTTCATTATATATATACATTATATATTACATTATAAATATGCATTATGTATTCTATTATATGTTATATATTTCATTATATATACACCTTACATGTATTTCAATATATATACACATTATATATATTCAATTATATATACCTTATACATTCCATTATAAATATGCATTATACATTTCATTATATATAAATATATATAATTTGTATATATTCCATTATGTATATACCTTACATATTCCATTATACATTACATATATTCCATCATAAATATGCATTATATATTCTCATATATATACATTATATATACCATTTTTAATATACATATATACAAAAATACATATCTAATATATAAATATATAATGTATACATATAAATATATATAACTTCCATATGTATATATAGTAGCTAATTAGTAATTATATATAGATACATTTAAAAAGGAAGTATATATATATAAAGAAGTTTTATTTATATATATTTATGTGTACATATATATATAAAGGACTTAATGACTAACTGACACAGTCACAAGGTCCCACCATAGGCCATCTGCAGGCTGAGGGGCAAGGAGAGCCAGTCCGCGTCCCCACAGTGAAGAACTTGCAGTTCAATATTTAAGAGCAGGAAGCGTCCAGCACGGGAGAAAGGTGGAGGCTGTGAGGAGAGGCCAGGCCCTGTTTCACATTTCTCTGCCTGCTTTATACTCCAGCCGTGCCCCCGCGCCCAGCCAGAACTGGAGCATTTGGAAGGTGTAAGTGGACGTGGTGTCTGCCCTCAGGCCCCCTTCTCCCATTAGATGCAGGTCTCACAGCCTAAGCACTGCTGACGTTTGGGGCTGGAGGCTTCTTTGCTGTGGGCCACCCTGGGAGCTGGAGGGTACTGAGCATCATTTGTGGGCTCCACCCACCAGGTACCAGGAGCATCCCCCCCACATAGGGACACCAAAGATGAACGCAGACACTGAACAGTATTCCCCAAGCGGTGGGGGGACCTGCTTTTGGTTGAGATCCAATGCCACATGCCCAAAGGCATAGAGAGATAGATGGGTAGATGAATACATAGATAATAATAGATGGATAGATAGGTGATGGATAGGTAGATAGATGAATAGATGATGGATACATACATGATAGATGGATAGATAGATAGATGGACACATAGATGATAGATGGATAGATGATAGATGGATAGATAGATGGATAAGTGATGGACACATAGATGATAGATGGAAAGATAGATGAATAGATAGATAGATGGATAGATGATGGATAGATAGTAGATGATGGATAGATAGATGATAAGACAGATGTACATAGATGAATGATAGATAATGGATAGATGATAGATGATGGATACATAGACAATAGATGGATAGATGATGGATAGATGGATGGATAGATGATGGATAAATATATGATAGATGGACAGGTGTGGTTTTCTTCAGTGGTCACACACGGTCTCAGTAACTTCCAAATCAAGCTGCTCCACCTTTACAATTGCCTGACATCATGAAAGAATGTGTAAGTGGTTTGGTGCCTTTTTTTTTTTTTTTTTTAATAAAGACGGGGTTTCACCATGTTGGTCAGGCTGGTCTTGAACTCTGGACATCAGGTGATCCACCTACCTTGGCCTCCAAAGTGCTTGGATTACAGGCGTGAGCCACCACGCCCGGCCATTTTGTGCTTAAGAAAACAGATAAAAATAGGCCTGGCGAGGTGGCTCACAGCACTTTGGGAGGCCGGAGCAGGCGAATCAGCTGAGGTGAGGAGTTTGAGACCAGCCTGGCCAATGTGGTGAAACTCCGTTTGTACTAAAAATACAAAAATAGTGGGTGTGGTGGCACATGCCTGTAATCGCAGCTACTCGGGAGGCTGAGGCAGGAGAATCGCTTAAACCCGGGAGGCAGAGGTTGCGGTGAGCTGAGATTGCGCCATTGCTCTCTGGCCTTGGCAACAACAAGAAAACAGTCTGGAAAAAAGAAGAAGAAGAAGAAAAAAAAAAAAGCCAGGCGAGATGGTTCATGCCTGTAATCCCAGCACTTTTGGAGGCCGAGGCAGGCGGATCACCTGAGGTCCAGAGTTCAAGACCAGACTTGCCAGTGTGGCGAAACCCCGTGTCTACTAAAAACACAGAAAAGCTGAGGCACAAGAATTGCTTAAATCCACATGGTGGAGGTTGCGGTGAGCTGAGACAGGCCACTGCACTCCAGCCTGGGTGACAGAGTCAGACTCCTCCTTTTTTTTTTTTTTTTTTTCCACTCTTAGGATATGCTTAAATTAGAGATTCCATCTCAATTAAAAAAAAACATGTGTGGGTTGCTTTATGCTTTAAGAAAACAGCTGAAATAGGCCGGGCGCGGTGGCTCATGCCTGTAGTCCCTGCACTTTGGTAGGCCGAGGCGAGCAGATCTCCTGAGATCAGGAGTTCGAGACCAGCCTGGCCAACATGGTGAAGCCCTGTCTCCACCGCTCTTCCCCAAACTTAGGCTCCTTCCCCTCCTCCCCAAATGGAACCTCCATCCCCTCTGCAAATGCAGTCTTCTTCACCTCCTCCCCAGATGCACCCTCTTTCCCTTCCTCCCCAAATGCACTCACCTTCCCTTCCTCCCCAGATGCACCCTCCTTCCCTTCCTCCCCAGATGCACCCTCCTTCCCTTCATCCCCAGATGCACCCTCTTTCCCTTCCTCCCCAAATGCACTCACCTTCCCTTCCTCCCCAAATGCACCCTTCTTCCCTCTTCCCCAAATGCAGTGTCCTTCCCCTCCTCCGCAGATGCAGTCTCCACCCCAGATGCAGCCTCTTCCCTCATCAAAACCCCACAGAAGAGCCAGACACAGGCTTTTGCTGTCTTTATTCATCCACGACTGCATGTTTCTGTGTGACTGTCCTGTGGCAGCTGGGGATGGGGCAGCCCCCTGCAGCTTGCAGGAGGGTGTCCCTATCATGAGCACGCTGCCTGGGCTTCAGGGACCCACTCTGGTGGCCAGCATGGCATCCAGGATACCCCCCAAGTGTGCCACCTGCACCTGGCAGAAGCCGTGTTGCTCTAGCAAGCGCTGGTACTCGCCTGGGCTCCGCTTCCTGCCCCCCCGCCTGCACCAGCATGTTCAGCGACTGCAGCAGGGCGACCCGGGCCTCCCTCTTCTCTTCGTCCAGGAGTGTCTCCACCAGCAGCAGGCCGGCCCCTGAGGGTAGAGCAGAGAGCTGGAGTCTTGGCCAGCCAGGCAGGGATCCTTCAGGGGCCAGCAGGGCACACAGCGGGCAACTGGAGCTCAGAACAGTGAACAGAGGCTGCCGAGAAGCCCTGCCCAGGAGACCCACGCAAGTAGGGGAGGGGAGAGAGATGGAGACTCCATGCAGGGCGGAGAGACAGGGAGAAGATTAGATTGAGAGATGGCTGGCTGGCTGGCTGCATGGCCTGGGCCTGTTCCCGTTCTCCTGGATGGATGGATGAACAGATGGTAGAAAGATGCATGGATGATGGATGGCAGATGGATGATTAAATTGGACATGATGGGTGGGTAGGTAGACGGATGGATGGATACATGGATGCAAGGATGAGAAGGATGGATGGATGAATAGATGCTGGGTGATGCATAGGCAGATGTATGCATGGATAGATGGATACATGGAAGAAGGATGGATGGATGAATAGATAGATAATGCACACCGAGATAAATGGATGGATAGATGGAGGCATGGATGAGAAGAATGGATGAGTGAATAGATGGTGGATGATGGACAGGTGGATGGATGGATGGATGGATGGGTGCAGGGGTGAGAAGGATGGATGGGTGAATAGATGTTAGATGATGGGTAGATGGATGGATTGATGAGTAGTTAGACGGATGTATGCATGAGAAGGATGGGTGGGTAAGTGGTAGATGATGCGTTGATGGATGGATGGATGCATTGGGTGAGAAGGATGGGTTGATTGGTGGATGGATGGATGAGATGGATGGATGGATAGATGGATGCATGGGCGATAAGGATGGATGGGTGAATAGATGGTAGATGATGGATGGGTAGGTGGATGGATGGATGCATGGGTGAGAAGGATGGATGGGTGAATAGATGGTAGATGATGGATAGGTAGATGGATGGATGGATGGATGGATGCATGGGTGAGAAGGATGGATGGGTGTATAGACGATAGATAATGGATGATGGGTGGATGGATGGATGAGATGGATAGATGGATGGGTGAGTAGATGGATGAATGGATGCATGGGTAAGAAGGATGGATGGGTGAATAGATGGTAGGTGATGGATGGGTAGATGGATGGATGGATGCCTGGGTGAGAAGGATGGATGATGAATAGATGCTGGGTGATGCATAGGCAGATGGATGCATGGATAAGTGAATGCATGGAAGAAGGATGGATGGATGAATAGATAGATAATGCACACCGAGATAAATGGATGGATAGATGGAGGCATGGATGAGAAGAATGGATGAGTGAATAGATGGTGGGTGATGGATAAGTGGATGGATGGATGGATGGGTGCGTGGGTGAGAAGGATGGATGGGTGAATAGATGGTAGATGATGGGTAGATGGATGGATGGATGCATGCAGGGTGAGAAGGATGGATGGGTGAACAGATGGTAGATTATGGATGGGTAGATGGGTGAGAAGGATGGATGGGTGAATAGATGATAGATGATGGATGGGTGGATGGATGGATGATGGGTGGATGGATGGATGGATAGATGGGTAGGTGGGTAGATGGATGGATGTACGGGTGAGAAGGATGGATGGGTGAATAGATGGTAGATGATGGATGGGTGGATGGATGGATGATGGGTGGATGGATGGATGGATAGATGGGTAGGTGGGTAGATGGATGGATGTATGGGTGAGAAGGATGGATGGGTGTATAGACGATAGATGATGGATGGATGATGGGTGGATGGATGGATGAGATGGATAGATGGATGGGTAGGTGGATGGATGGATGCATGGGTGAGAAGGATGGATGGGTGAATAGATGGTAGATGATGGATGGGTAGATGGATGGATGGATGCATGGGTGAATAGATGGTAGGTGATGGATGGGTAGATGGATGGATGGATGCATGGGTGAATAGATGGTAGGTGATGGATGGGTAGATGGATGGATGGATGCATGGGTGAGAAGGATGGATGGGTGAATAGATGGTAGGTGATGGATGGGTAGATGGATGGATGCATGGGTGAGAAGGATGGATGGGTGAATAGATGGTAGATGATGGATGGGTAGATGGATGGATGGATGGACGGATGGATAGATAATAAATGATGGACAGAAGACAGATAGGTGACAGATGATTGTTACAAGGCCAGACACAGTGGCTCACGCCTGCCATGCTAGCATTTTGGGAGGGTAAGGCGGGGGGATGGTTTGAGCCCAGGAGTTTGAAACCAATCTGAGCAATATAGTGAGAGAGACCCTGTCTCTATTGTATTTTTTTTAAAGGAGGATGACAGATGATAGATGTATAAAGAGAGACACAGACGGGGTGGGGAGAGGGAGGAAGAGACAGAGAGACATAAGGCAGGAGAGAAGAAGGAGGAAAGAGGAGAAACAAAGATATTGATGATAGATGAGACACATAAAAAGACAGAGGAGGAGAGAGAGGAAGAGGAAGAAAGAAAGACAGGGTGCAGTGGGTCACATCTTTAACCCCAGTGCTTTGGGAGGCTGAGGCGGGAGGATTACTTGTGCCCAGGAGTTTGAGACTAGCCTGGGCAACATAGCAAGACCCCATCTCTACAAAAAAACAAAAAATTTTTAAACTGTCAGGGCATGGTGACATATATGTGAACTCTCAGCTACTCGGAAGGCCGAGGTGGGAGGATTGCTTGAACTCCGGAGGTCAAGGCTGCAGTGACTTATGATGACAGATGGTCCTCCAGCCTGAGTGACAGAGCGAGACTCCCATCACCATAAAAAACAATTTTTTTTTTTTTTTGAGACGGAGTCTCGCTGTCGCCCAGGCTGGTGTACAGTGGCGAGATCTCAGCTCACTGCAACCTCTGCTTCCGGGTTCAAGCCATTCTCTTGCCTCAGTCTCTGTGGGATTACAGGCGGCCACCACCACACCCAGCTAATTTTTTGTATTTTTAGTGAAGACGGGGTTTTATCGTGTTAGCTAGGTTGGTGTCGATCTCCTGACCTCGCAATCCACCCGCCTTGGCCTCCCAAAGTGTTTGGATTACAGGCGTGAGCCACTGCGCCCAGCCATAAAAAACCTTTTTTTTTTGAGACCAAGTCTTGCTCTTGTCATCCAGGCTGGGGTGCAGTGGTGCGACCTCGGCTCACTGCAACCTCCGTCTCCCGGGTTCAAGTGATTCCCCTGCCTCAGCCTCTTGAGTAGCTGGGACTACAGGTGCCCGACACCATGTACAGCTACTTTTTTTTTTTTTTCGTATTTTTAGTAGAGACAGGATTTCACCATGTTGGTCAGGCTGGTCTCAAACTCCTGACCACAGGTGACTCACTCCACTTTGTCCTCCCAAAGTGCTGGGATTACTAGTGTGAATCACCATGCCCAGCCACAAAAAAAAAGTTTTAAAAAATTAGCTGGGCATGGTGATGCATTTGTGTTGTTAGTTCCAGCTACTCGGGAGGCTAAGATGGGGGGATGGCTTCAGCCCCGAGGGCAAGGCTGCCGTGAGCTGTGACTGTGCCACTGCATACCAGCCTGGGTCTCTCAGTGAGACCTTGTCTCAAAAAAATATGTGAGTAGGTAGATATGGCTGGGTGCAGTGGCTCATGCCTGTAATCCGAGCACTTTGGGAGGCTGAGGTGGCTGGATCACCAGAGGTCGGGAGTTTGAGACCAGCCTGACCAACATGGTGAAAAACTCTCTACTAGAAAAAATAAAAAATTGCAAATATTAGCCAGGTGTGGCGGCTCACGCCTGTAATCCCAGCCCTTTGGGAAGCTGAGGCAGGCAGATCACGGGGTCAGCAGTTCGAGATCAGCCTGGCTAACATGGTGAAACCTTATCTATACTAAAAACAAAAAAAATTAGTTGGGCGTGATGGCACATGTGTGTCATCCCAGCCATTCAGGAGGCTGAGGCGGGAGAATTGCTGGAACCCGGGAGGCAGAGGCTTCAGTGAGCCGAGATCGCACCACTGCCCTCCAGCCTGGATGACAAGAGCAAGACTCCATCTCAAGAAGAACAGAGAAAGAAATGGATACGCACAGAGAGAGAGAGAGAGAGAGAGAGAAAGAGAGAGAGAGAGAGAGAGAGAGAGAGAGAGAGAGAGAGAGAGAGAGAGAGAGAGAGAGAGAGAGAGAGAGAGAGACGGGTGGAGGCCCCTTGAGCAGCTGAGCCTGTGGGGAGTCCTGTTTCAACTCACAGGAAGTGAGGCTCGTGGCCCTGGCTCTGTTAAGCTCATCAAGCGTTTTCTCTGCAAATATTCGAGGAATTTTCACTGCGGCTGCAACGTTCAACTCTTGAGTCCGGGAACAGAGCCTGAGCACCTGCGAGATTGCCTCAGGGCCAGCTCCTGTCACTGTGGAAATCTGGTGCGTGGCCCTTGCTGGACCCCTGGAGCTTGGGGTTCCTGCAGCCCCACCTGCTCCAGGAGCAGCCTGGGTACTCGGGGAGACATGTGGTGTGAAGACTTTGAGCTGAGATGCTGTGTGCTGTGTGTGTGCACGGGCATGGGTGCCTGTGTAGAAACACATACATTAGTCACAGCTGACCCTTGAGTAACATGGATTTAAACCGCAGGGTCCACGGCTGTGTGCATTTCCCTACGTATCGGCCACCCCTGACATGGCAGGAGCTACTCACGCTTCCTCCTCCTCTGCAGCCTCCTCAAAGATAAAGATGTTTGAGGCCGGGCTCGGTGGCTCACACAGCACTTAGGGAGGCTGAGGTGGGCAGATCACGAGGTCAGGAGTTCCAGACCAGTCTGGCCAACGTGCTGAAACCCCGTCTCTACTAAAAATAGAAAAATTGCCTGGATGTGGTGGTGTGTACCTGAAATCCCAGCTACTCGGGAGGCTGAGGCTGGAGAACCGGTGAACCTAGGAGGCAGTGGGTGCGGTGAGCCGAGATGGCGCCACTGTATTCCAGCCTCGGAGACAGAGCGAGACTCCATCTCAAAAATAAATAAATAAAAGATGACCCACTTGAATACTAAATAAACTTTACTATTTGAATGAATACTAAATACACTTTCTCTTCCTTAGGATTTTTATTTTTTTGGATTCGGAGTCTCACTGTGTTGCCCAGGCTGGGCAGTCTTCATCTCAGCCTCCCGGGTTCAGCTCCTCCTGCCTCAGCCTCTCGAGTAGCTGGGAATAGAGGCTCTTGCCATCACGCCTGGCTAATTTTTTTTTAGCAGAGATGGCATTTTGCCATGTCAGCCAGGCTAGTGTTGAACTCCTGACCTCGGCTGATGCACCCAGCTTGACCTCCCAAAGGGATGTGAGTCTGCGCCTGGCTGGCTGAGAACATTTCACTCAGCAGACTTTGGGGTGTTTTTATTGAGACAGACGCTCACTCCTTCGCAGAGGCTGCATTGTATGGGCTGGGTCACAGATCTCTGCAGCCTCAAACACCCGGGCTGAAGCCATTCTCCCACCGTGGCCCCCTACCTGTGGGGATGAGAGGCGTCTATTGCCCTACTTTACTTTTAAACTTTTTTAATTTTCAATTTTTGAGATGGTGTTTCGCTCTTGTTGCCCAAGCTAGAGTGCAGTGGCGCGATCTCGGCTCACCGCAGCCTCTGCCTCCTGGGTGCAAGCGATTCTCCTGCCTCTGCCTCCTGAGTAGCTGGTATTACAGGTACCCACCCGCACATCTGGCCAATTTTGTATTTTTAGTAGAGACGGGGTTCCACCACGTTGGCCAGGTTGGTCTCGAACTCCTGACCTCAGGTCATCCGCCTGCCTCGGCCTCCCAAAGTGCTGGGACTACAGGCGTGAGTCACCGTGTCCGGCCACCTGTGGAAACTTGAACCAGAAACACAACATGCTAACGAAAATGTGAACCTGACGAGCATTGCTCACCTGGCTTGCATCTCTGGGCAACCCTGCTGAGTATCTCGTGAACTCTGTCATCCGGCCAGTCATGAACGATCTGGCACAGGATGTACAGGTCTGCGGGGGGGAGGCGGTCCCGGAAAAAGTCACCTGGTTTAAAAACAAAAGGTGACGCGTCCGTCAGGTATGGCAGAAGCGGTCCTCCATTTTTTTTTAGACAGAGTTTTACTCTGTCGCAGAGGCTGGAGTGCAGGCCACAATCTCAGCTCACTGCAACCTCCGCCTCCCAGGTTCAAGTGATTCTCCTGCCTCAGCCTCCCGAGTAGCTGTGATTACAGCTGTGCAGCAGCACGCCTGGCTAACGTTTTTATTTTTAGTAGAGACGGGGTTTCACCATGTTGACCAGGCTGGTCTGGAACTCTGGACCTCGTGATCCACCAGCCTTGGCCTCACAAAGTGCTGAGATGACAGGTGTGACCCACGAAGCCATCCTCCCATGACAGATGCTGAGACGGCCACCCGCGTCCTATATCAGGCAGGGAGAAGAGACGGGCGTGGGTGGGAATGGGTGTGCCCGAGGTATATCCCCGTGGGGACTTGAACGCAGCACCGTGAAGAGCTGGTTAGTGATGTCCCACCCGTGTGATTTGATTCCGGCAGGGAAAGGATCAGCCGCGGTGGCTCACCCCTGTAACCTCGGCACTTTGGGAGCCTGAGGTGGGTGGACAGTCTGAGGTCGGGTGTTCCAGACCAGCCTGGGCAACATGGCGAAACCCCACATCTAATCGCTACTAAAAATACAAGTTAGCCGGGCGTGCTGGCGGGTACCTGTAATTCTAGCTGCTTGGGCAGCTGAGGCCGAACAGTCGCTCGAACCTGGGAGGGGGAGGTTGAAGGGAGCCGAGATTGCACCACTGCCCTCCAGCCTGGCTGACAAAAAAAAAATTTTTTTTTAAAAGGCAGGAAATTCAGGGGCGTGACCCAGGCAAGGCAGGCAGAGTCAGCATGAAGCGGAGTCTCCGTCTGCCAGGGGGGAGTCAGGTCTTCACTGGCAATTCTCTGATTCAGGAACCCAGGGAGGGTTGCGTGCAGGGGGTGTACGTAGCTACACACCGCTCTGTAATTGCGGAAATAAGATGGTCTGCTGTAGGGCAGTGAACGGTCTCCCCTTAAAACATACATTCAAGGCTGGGCGCGGTGGCTCATGCCTGTAATCCTGGCACTTTGGGAGGCCGAGGCGGGTGGATCACATGTGCTGAGGAGTTCGACATCAGCCTGGCCAACGTGGTGAAACCCCATCTCTACTAAAAAACAAAACTTCGCTTGGTGTGGCGGCGTGTGCTGTCGTCCCAGCTATTCGGGAGGCTGAGGCAGGAGGACCACGTGCACCCGGGAAGTGGAGGTTGCCCTGAGCTGAGACGGTGGCACTGCACTCCAGCCTGGGCGACTGAGGGAGACACCGCCTCAAACTTAAAAACAAAACAAAACAAAATAGCTGGGTGCAGTGGCTCATGCCTGTCATCCCCGTACATTCAGAGGCCGAGCTGAGCGGATCACCTGAGGTCAGGAGTTCGAGACCAGCCTGGCCAATGTGGTGAAACCCCGACTATCTACTAAAAATACAAAAAACCCATCTATCTACTAAAAATACAAAAATTACCCGGGCGTGGTGTGGGCACCTGTAATCCCAGCTATTCGGGAGGCTGAGGCAGAAGAATCGCTCAAACCTGGGAGGTGGAGGCTGCAGTGAGCTGAGATCACACCACTTTACTTAGGCATGGCTGACAGAGCAAGACTCAAAAAATAAAATAAATAAATAAATTTCAGCATTTCTTTCTCCTGCAGACGAGCTGTAGGGCGACTGTGGCGTGTGTGTGTGTGTGTGTGTGTGTGTGTGTGTGTGTGTATGTTTTGAGATGGAGTCTCTCTGTGTCACCGGGCTGGAGTGGCTCAATAGCGGCTCACTGCAACCTCCACCTCCCGGGTTCAAGCGATTCTCCTGCCTCAGCCGCCCAAGTAGCTGGGATTACAGGCACCTACCACTACATCCGGCTAATTTTTGTATTTTTAGTAGATATGGGGTTTCTCCATCTTGGCCAGGCTGGTCTCCAACTCCTGACCTCAGGTGATCCTCCTGCCTCAGCCTCCCAAAGTGCTGGGATTAGTGATGTGAGCCATGGCGCCTGGCCAATTGTGTTTCTTTAAAAACTAGAAAGGTACCCAGAAACCTTGGGGGGAAGAGGGGCATGGAGGTGCCCAGCGCCTCTGCCCACAGGCCTGGCCGATGTCGGATACCACCGAGTTACAGCTCGGGAGGCGTCTCCTCTCAATCCGTGCGGGCACCTGCGGCTGCCACCTCTCTCAGTCTAACCTGGGGCCGCCCTGTTGCAGCTCTTGAGTGGTCTCCTTCTGTGGCCTCGGTGCCGTGGACACCCGTGGTCACGGAGGTCAGCTGTTCCCCATCTCCACTCCCCACTGACTACCTGCACCCAGGACAGCTTCACACAGCCGCCCACCTGGTGGTTCTTTTGTATTTATTATTATTTTCTTCTTTATTTGAGATGGAGTTTTGCTCTTGTCGCCCAGGCTGGAGTGCACTGGTCTGATCTCGGCTCACTGCGACCTCCGCCTCCCTCCCAGGTTCAAGTGATTCTTTGCCTCAGCCTCCTGAGTAGCTGGGATTTCAGGCACCAGCTGCTAAGCCTGGCTGATTTCTTTCTATTTTTTTTTTTTTTTTGAGACGGAGTTTCACTCTTGTCACCCAGGCTGGAGTGCAATGGCGCGATCTTGGCTCATCGCAACCTCCACCTCCTGGGTTCAGGCAATTCTCCTGCCTCAGCCTCCCGAGTAGCTGGGATTACAGGCATGCGCCACCATGCCCAGCTGATTTTTTGTATTTTTAGTAGAGACGGGGTTTCACCATGTTGACCAGGATGGTCTCGATCTCTTGACTTCGTGATCCACTCGCCTCGGCCTCCCAAAGTGCTGGGATGACAGGCGTCAGCCACCGCGCCCGGCGTATTTACCATTACTATTATTGTTTTATTTATTTATTTTTTATGAGGTGGAGTTTCGCTCATTGCCCAGGCTGGAGTACACCGGTCTGATCTCGGCTCACTGCGACCTCTGCCTACCTCCTGGGTTCAAGTGATTCTTCTGCCTGAGTCTCCCGAATAGCTGGGATTACAGGCATCAGCCACCACACCTGGCTAAATTTTTTGTATTTTTTTTTTAAGATGGGGTTTCACCATGTTGGTCAGGCTGGTCTCGAACACCCGACCTCAGGTGATCTGCCCACCTTAGTCTCCAAAGTGCTGGGATTACAGGTGTCAGCCACCGTGCCCGGCCGAGTTTTTTGTATTTTTACTAGAGATGGGTTTCTCCATGTTGCTAGGGTTGGATTCAATCTCTCCACCTCAGGTGATCCACCCAACTCGGCCTCCCAAAGTGCTGGGATTACAGGCGTAAGCCACCGCGCCTGGCCACGTCTACCTGTTTAGAGATGCCCTCGTGTCTCTGTGTACACACACACACACACACACACACACAGGCATATCCAGGGACGCAGACACACGGGCATCGCACATATAGCCACACAGATGCACCAACGCACATACAGTGACAGACACACATGCATCACACGCCACAAACAGGCACCCACAGACATGCCCAGACACGCAGAGACGCACCCACACACAGGTACACACACACACACAGACACCCACAGCCACACACCATGCACACAGAGGCAGACACACAGACATGCACTCATATACCCACAGAGACATACACACACACACACAGACAGTCTCATGCACAGACACACATGGAAGAACATAACAGACACACATGCACACACAAACACCCACACGGACATACACAAACACAGAAACCGACACAGACACACATGCAACAGTCACATATGCACAGACACCCACAGCCACACACCATGCACACAAAGGCAGACACACAGACATGCACATATACACCCGCAGAGACACACGCACACATACACATACACACATACCCTCAGATAGATACACAACCACACACAGAGAACTGCACACACACACACACACAGAGATGGTCTCATGCACAGACACGCTTGGAAGAACATACCAGACACACATGCACACACAAACACCCACACGGACATACACAAACATAGAAACCCACACAGACACACAGGGACACACACAGATGCAGCAGTCACATATGCACAGACACCCACGACACACACCATGCACACAGATGCAGACACACACACACACACACACACACCCGCAGAGACGCACGCACCTACACACACCCTCACAGACACATACGCAACCACCACACACCACAGAGACATGCCATGCACAGACACATGTGTAGATGCAGACACAGAGAGTCTCAAGCACAGACACACAAGGTCACACCACACAGAGACACATATACACACACACCACACACACAAGGACATAGCACACAGAGATACACAAGCACAGCAGTCAGCTATGCACACAGACACCCAGAGACACACACTGTGGAAAAGCATACACAGAAACACGCATGCACGCACGCCGCCCCACATGCTCTCTGGAAGGCGGTGAGGCAGCAGGGCAAACTCAAGGAAGCCTCACCGGCAGCGAATCGGATCTGAGCCGCCTGCGGCCCGGTGGGTTGGAAGTGTGTGGCCAGCTCGATGGTTTCGGGGAGCTTGAACATGGTCACCTGCAGATGTGGGTTCTCCCGGACCAGCTCTTGGGCCAGTGCACCCGTGCACCCTGCAGGGAATCAAATGCCTGCTGTGCGGCCAGGTCGTCCCAGCGCCAACGGAACCCTGACGACCCTCCAAAACTCAATCAAGCAGAAGTAATGTTCACACGATGGCCGGTGCCACAGCAGCCATTCTGGGCCACGTGTGGGGACACAGCCTTGAAGGGAAATCCTTCCAGCCCAGGGTGGGGGTCTGTAATCCTTCCTTCTCCTTCCTGCCATGGGGATGCAGACACCATGGCTGGGGACGGTGGCTCACGCCTGTCATCCCAGCACTTTGGGAGGCCGAGGCGGGTGGATCACTAGGTCAAGACATTGAGACCAGCCTGCCCAAAAATTAGCCAGTTGTGGTGGCAGGTGCCTGTAATCCTAGCTACTCGGGAGGCTGACGCAGGAGAATTGCTTGAACCTGGGAGGTGAAGGTTGCAGTGAGCTGAGATCAGACCATCACACTCCAGCTTAGGCGACAGAGCAAGACTCAATGTCCGCCTCCTGGGTTCAGGCCATTCTCCTGCCTCAGCCTCCTGAGTTGCTGAGACTATAGGCGCACGCCACCATGCCCGGCTAATTTTTGTATTTTTAGTAGAGACAGGGTTTCTCCATTTTGCCCAGGCCGGTCTCGAACTCCTGACCTTAGATGATCCGCCCGCCTTGGCCTCCCAAGGTGCTGGGATTACAGGCGTGAGCCACTGCGCCTGGTTAATGCCTGCAGCTTAATACAGACAAAGTCACGGACGGAGTTGTGGCAAGGCAGGGGGGTTGTACCCACCTCCCACGTCGCAGGTGGAGGAGAAGCCAGACAGGTCAAAGGCGGTGGCTATGTACTGCGCATTCAGCTTGGACAGGCCGTGCATGGCGTGCATGAACCACAGCCGCATCTCGGGGCTCTGGTAGAGCATATCATGGAACACAGCAGGGGCTCAGGGGCGCAGGAGCCGGGGGCTCGCCCAGCCTGTCCCCAGGCAGAAAACACACAGGCCCTGGCACCTGCGCTGCAGAGGGGGCTTCATGGCACAGCTGCGTGGGGCACCCATGTCTGTGCCAAGGCTGGGGACAGAGGACCCCCAAATTGGAGGTGATCTCCTTGGAATCACTGGGTCCACACACGGCATGACCTGCAAGCATCCAAGTTTCCCAGACAAGGAGGCTTTTCACCCTGGAAGCTCCGGGTCACCCACAGACATCTCAGCGTGGAAAACCGGGGAGAGGGAAGCAGAGGGGGGTCCTCCCGGACAGAGAATATGGTCCTCTTAGCTGCCCAGGTCTCATGGTGGTACCCACCCCGGCCACAGAGGAACCCAGGTCAGTCCTTGTCAGGGCTGCGCTCACCACTCCCACCCTGGATGTGCCTTGTCCCCCCAGGGCAAGGAAGCCCTGCCCAGCCTGATCCTGAGCCCGGCTCCCAGGGGACAGACCCTCCACCCTGGCTCCCCAAATCCCTTGGGGCCTCCCCGGCTCTCCCCTCGGCAGGCGGCAGCGACAGGGTCAGGGCATCCTCCCTGAGGCCCAGGCTGGCTGCTCACTCTGGCTCTGGGCCGGCTTCTCTCTCCACCGCTGGCTTCTGTCTCTGTGTCACTCTCCCTTCGTCTCTGTTCTCCTTCTATCTCACCATCTCCTTCTGTCTCTTTCTGCCTCTATCTCTGTCCCTCCAAGCCTCCTTGTCTGTCTCCCTATCTCTGTCTCCCTCTGTGTGTCTCTGTCTCGCTGTCTCTGTTCTCTATCGCACCATCTCCTTCTGTCTCTTTCTGCCTCTATCTCTGTCCCTCCAAGCCTCCTTGTCTGTCTCCCTATCTCTGTCTCCCTCTGTGTGTCTCTGTCTCGCTGTCTCTGTTCTCTATCGCACCATCTCCTTCTGTCTCTTTCTGCCTCTATCTCTGTCCCTCCAAGCCTCCTTGTCTGTCTCCCTCTGTGAGTCTGTGTGTCCCTCTGTGTGTCTCTGTCTCCCTCTGTTCTCTTTCTATCTCTCCATCTCCTTCTGTCTCTCTCTCTGCCTCTATCTCTGTCCCTCCAAGCCTCCCTGTCTCTGCCTTCCTGTCTCAGTCTCTCTGTGTTCTTGACAGAGACACAGAAACAGAGAGACAGAGTATCTCCAGCCTGTGTGGAGATGAATGGGATCTCGGCTCACTGCAGCCTCCGCCTGCCGGGTTCAAATGATTCTCCCACCTCAGCCTCCCGAGTAGGTGGAATCACAGGCCCGCCACCACGCCCGGCTAATTTTGCTCATTTTTGGTAGAGACGGGGTTTCACCATGTTGGCCAGGCTGGTCTCGAACTCCTGACCTCAAGTGATCATCCCACCTTGGCCTCCCAAGCTAGCTGGGATGAGTGGCTCATGCCACCATGCCCGTCCTCATCTTTCATTGTTTTTATAGAGATGGGGTCTCACTGTGTTGGCCAGGCTGGTCTCAAACTCCTGGGCTGAAACCATCCTCCCAACTTGGCCTCAAAAAGTGCAGGGATTCCAGGTGTGAGTTCCGACGTACGGCCTCCAAACCCCTTTCTGGGAGGAAATTCTGGTTTCTTATTTATTTTTTTTCAGATGAAATTTTGCTGTTGTGTCCCAGACTGAAGTACAATGTCACGATCTCAGCTTACTACAACCTCCGCCTCCCGGGTTCAAGCAATTGTCCTGCCTCCGAGTAGCTGGGATTACAGGTGCCCACCACCACGCCTCTATTTTTAGTAGAGACAGGGTTTCCCCATGTTGGCCAGGCTGCTCTCGAACTCCCGACCTTGTGATCCGCCCATGTCGACCTCCCAGTGTGCTGGGATGACAGGCATGAGCCACCGTACCTGGCCTCTTTAGATAGAATCTTGGTCTGTCACCCAGCCTGGAATGCAGTGGCAGGAGCTCCCCTCTCTGCAACCTCTACCTCCCGGGTTCAAGTGATCCTCCTGCCTCAGCCTCCTGAGTAGCTGGTATGTCAGGCGCCCGCCACCACGCCTGGCTAATTTTTGTTACTTTTAGTGGACATGGGGTTTCTCCATGTTGGTCAGGCTGGTCTCGAACTTCCGACCTTGTGATCCGCGCGCCTCGGCCTCCCGAAGTGCTGGGTGACCGCATGAGCCACCGCAGCCGGCCTCCTTGGGTTTCCTTGTTCTGAGGTCACATGAGCATCCTGTTTCTTCAGGTTACAGTAACACAGAGGCGGCAACCCTCTACCTGACGTCGGATGGTGACTGGTCTCTTCATGGCTTCATCATGTACAGCAGTGAGGTCACCTGGAACCTCTTTACGCACCTGGAGTTCGCCGTCCGAGAGGGAAGAAACCAGCACCACCGGGTGCAGGGGAAGAAGGCGGAAGATGTGTTCCAGGTAGGGGGAGCCGCCGCGGAGCCTTTCCGCCTGGCGTGCGTCCTGCTAAGGCACGTTGGCGCACAGGGCAGCGTGGGCGCCTGGATCAGTCGGTCTCCAGGCCGGCACATCCCAAAGCCTTGGTGCTGTGGCTGTGTCTTCAGTCACCTCTGGAAAGGCCCACCGTAGCTATCGTCCACTGTTACCCCGCAGCAGCTGCAAACAGAACTGCCAGTGGCCGGGCGCGGTGGCTCACGCCTGTCGTCCCAGCACTTTGGGAGGGGCCGAGGTGGGTGGATCACGAGGTCGGGAGTTCAAGACCAGCCTGACCAACATAGTGAAACCCTGTATGATAAAAATACAAAAAATCAGCTGGGTGTGGTGGTGGGCGCCTGTAATTCCAGCAATTCAGGAGGCTGAGGCAGGAGAATCGCTTGAACCCGGGAGGAGGAGGTTGCAGTGAGCCTAGATCGTGCCACTGCACTCCAGCCTGGGGGACAGAGCCAGACTCCATTTAAAAAAAAGAAAGAGGCCAGGCATGGTGGCTCATACCTGTAGTCCCAGCACTTTGGGAAGCTGACGTGGGTGGAACATGAGGTCAGGAGTTTGACAGCAGCCTGGCCAAGATGTTTTCCCATCTCTACTAAAAATAACAAAAATTAGGCAGCTGGGGTGGCGCACACCTGTAGCCCCAGCTACTTGGGAGGCTGAGGCAGGAGAATTGCTTGGATGCAGGAGGTGAAGGTTGCAGTGAGCTGAGATTGTCCCAGTGCACTCCAGCCTGGGTGACAGAGTGAGACTCCATCTAAACAATAAATAAATAAATCTTCTAGGTTACATCCTAGGGGTTCTGTTGCCCTGGAGAGCCCCGAGTGATACAGGGAAGTTCTTCCTTCCACCCACTTCATGCCCAGGTCAGCTGTCCGCAGACGCAGCCCGCAAGCTCCCTGCCAGGACGCCCCCTCCCACAGAACGAGAGGCTGGAAGGCGGAGGACCTGTCAGTGGACACCCATACGTGTAAACAGATGGCCTGGCACCTCTCTGGTTCTGCTGTGTCAGAAGCAGCCCTGGGTTCACGTTGGTCATGAAAGGTGACCGTTCCTGAGACCTACTGTGGAGCAGGCAGCCCGTGCAGACAACAGCTGCTCCTAGAGGTCAAGTGCACAAAGCCCTTCTCCATATTCATCATGATTTCCTTCCCTCCTTCCTTTCTTCCCTCCCTCCCTTCCTTCTCTCCTTCCCTCCTTCCCTCCCTCCCTTCCTCCCTTCACTCTCTCTTTTCTGACAGTTTCGCTCTTGTTGCCCAGGCTGGAGTGCAGTGGCACGATCTCGGCTCACTGCAACCTTCCCCTCCTGCATTCAGGTGATTCTCCTGCCTCAGCCTCCCAAGTACCTGGGACTATGGGCACGTGCCACCACACCTGGCTAATTTCATATATTTAGTAGAGACGGAGTTTCACCACGTTGCTCAGGCTAGTCTCAATCTCCTGATCTCAGGTGATCCACCCACCTTGGCCTCTGAAAGTGCTGGGATTACAGGCATGAGCCACCATGATTTTTAGTACAGGAGAACGGCACTGAACTCCTCTAGCTGGGAAGAAGTTCTGCCTCCTATGCTCCGAACTCTTAACGATATAGTCACGTGTCTCTGTGGCAAGGGCGCAGCCTCTGGGGCCTCAACTTGAGCATGCTTTGTGTCCTAATCTGCTCAGGCGTCGTCTGTCCTCCTGCCCTTCCCAAACTGCTCAAGGACTTGGCCATGTGCTCTCTGTTCATCGTGATGAAGAGTTCTGTTTGGTTCACAAAACACATCATCCATCCACCCATCCATCCACTCCCCACCCATGCACCCACCCATCCATCTGTTCACCCACCCTCCCGATCACCCACCTAGTCATTCACTCATCCATCCACTCACCCACCCATCCAGCCAGCCATCTACTCACTCACCCACTCATCCATATATTCCACCACCCAACTACCCATCCACTGACCCACTGATACATGTATTCATCCATCCTCTCATGCATCATCCATCCATCCATCCATCCGTTTACCCACCCTTCCAATCAGCCACTGGGTCATTCACTCATTCATCCACTCACCCACCCATACATCCACTCACCCATCCACCCATTCCCTCACCTAACTACCCATCCACCAATCCACTGATACATGTATTCATCCACTCTTATCCATCCATCCACCCACCCATCTACATGCCCACTCATCCATCCATTCCCTCACCCAGCTATCCATCCACTAACCCACTGATACATCTGTTCATCAACCCTACCTCTATCTATCCATCCATCCATCCATCCATCCATCCATCCATCCATCCATCCAATTATGCACCCTCCCACCCATCCACCCATCCAATAATCCACCCATCCATCCTCACATCCACCCCATCCATCATCCACCCAATCACCCACCTACCCATCCATCCACCCAACCACTGATTCACTGTTCCAGCCATCCATATATCATCCACCCATCCACATCCATCCATTCATCCATCCATCCATCCATCCACCCACTTATTCATCCATTACCTCATGCAACTACCCATCCACCGATCCACTGATACATCTATCCATCCACCCATCCATCCATCCATTCACCCACCCTCCCAATCATCCATCCATCCATTCATGCATCCACGCACTCATCCATCCAATCCCCTCACCCAACAACCCATCCACCAATCCACTGATACATCTATTCATCCACCCTTCCATCCATCCATCCACCCACCTTCCCAATCATCCATCCATCCACCCACCTTCCCAATCATCCATCCATCCATCCATCCATCCATCCATCCATCCATCCATCCACTTACTCATCCATCCATTCCCTCACGCAACTACCCACCCACCGATCCACTAATACATTTATTCATCGACCCTCCCATCCACCTATCCATCCATCCATTCAATTATGCACCCTCCCACCCATCCATCCATCCACCAATCCATCTACCCATCCACCCACGCACTCATCCACCCATTCCCTCATGCAACTAGCTATCCACCAATCCACTGATACATGTATTCATCCATCCTTCCAACCATCCATCTATCCACCCACCCATCCAATTATGCATCCTCCCACCCACCCATTCATCCATCTATCCACCCATCCATCCAGTTATGCATCCTCCCACCCAGCCATTCATCCATCCACCCACCCAGCCATTCATCCATCCACCCACCCACCCACTCATCCATCCGTTCCCTCACCCAAGTACCTATCTACTGATCCAGTGATACATCTATTCATCCAACTTCTCATCCACCATCCATCCATCCATTCACCCACCCTCCCAATCACCAATCCATCCATCTACTCATCCATCCATTCCCTCACCCAACAACCCATCCACCGATCCAATGATATATCTGTTCATCCATACTCTCATCCATCCATCCAAGCATCCACCCATCCATCCATCTATTCATCCATCCACCCACCCACCCATCCAACCATCCACCCATCCATCGATCCAGCCACCCATCCATGCACCCATCCACCGATTCACCAATCCATCCATTTGCTACCCACCCTCCCATTTACCCATCCATCCATCCATCCATCCATCCACCCACCCATCCATTCACCCATTCACTGATCTACCAACCCATCCACCTTCCCATCCATCCATCTATCCAGTTACTATCATCTATCCATCCATTCATCAATGCATCCATCTATCCATTTACATATCTATCAGCTCTACTTATCATCTATGTCTATCCGTCTCCATCATCCATCTATATCGAGGTATCTGTACATTTATCATCTATCCATGTATCTGTCTACCCACCCATCCAGGTTATCTGTCTATAAACATAAATAAGCCAGTAAAGACATGTCTGTGTCCCGTGTTGGGTTCTTTCTTAGGAGAACACTGACTAAATATGCCCCCTTTGAGACCAGACGTCATAAGGAGCCTGCATTTCTCCTGCCTACTCGCAGTCGCTGCTGTTCCCTCTCTCATCCACTCTCTGCTTCTCATCCTTTTGGGAGTAGCAGCGACCCTGAGGGCAGAGAGGGGACAGAAGGTCTGGCCCTCCTTCCTTGCCCTGCCTGGGCTCCAGGTCACCATCCCTCAGTGACTTACTTCCACCTGCCAAGATTCTCAGGGCCAAAGCTGAAGTTAGAGTCTCATTACCTTGCTCTGACTTCTCCAGGAACCCCAGGCATGCGCAGAAGTCCAGAAGCCTCTCCGTGCGGCACACAGAGGCGTCCACTTTGTTGGCAATGCCCGTGGCCTTCTGGGGAGCTTCATCTTTTAACAGATCAAACACATTCAGCTTGCAGGCGATGAATAGGGCCTGCCCGTTAAAAACAGGTGCGGGGGTACTCAGTGAGTCACTTGCCAAGCCCTTTTTCCTCCCACAGATCTTCCACGAGATCGTGGAGGCCAAGGGTGTCGAAACTGTTTCACGTGGCCGCTGAGCTTTCTCTTAGAGAGAACAGTGGGGATTATAGGATCAAGTCCCCAGCTACAAGGCATAAAAGCACATCTACGAATGTCATGTAGGAAAACCAGCCCACGGGGGGAAAATCAACATGCTACAGATATGGGTCAAGTCCAAAACCTGCACGTTCAATCCCTAATCCCCACACTATCTCAGGATGTGACTCTATTTGTAGGCAGGTTTTATTTTATTTTTTTTATTTCTTGAGATGGAATCTTGCTCTGTTGCCCATGCTGGACTGCAATGGCACGATCTCGGCTCACTGAAACCTCTGCCTCCCAGGTTCAAGCAATTCTCCTGACAGCCTCCAGAGTAGCTGGGACTATAGGTGTGCACCACCACGCCTGGCTAATTTGTGTGTTTTTAGCAGAGAGGGGGTTTCACCATGTTGGCCAGGATGATCTCGAACTCCTGACCTCAAGTGATCTGCCCACCTAGGCCTCCCAAAGTGCTGGGATGACAGGGGTGAGCCACTGTGCCCGCCCTGTAAGCGTGGTTTTAAAGAGATGATAAAGGTAAAATGAGGTCATTTGGGTGGACCAGATCCAATGGCACTCCGGGGTGCTTATAGGAAGAGGAGGTGAGGACACAGGCACGCACAGAGGGACGACCCCGTGAGGACACAGGGACAAGATGGCGTCTCCAAGCCCATGAGAGAGGCCTCAGGAGGAGCCGGCCCTGCCCACACCTGGATCTCAGACCTCCAGCCTCCAGGACTCTGTTGTTTATAAACCTCCCAGTGGCTTATAAATTATAATATATAAATTATGTAATTTATATATCTCTTCTTCTTACAAGAACCCCAGTCCTATTGGATTTGGTCCTCCCAAATGACCTCACTTTACCTTAATTATACATTATATGATTATATATAAATATATAATTCATTACATAATTATATATTTAACTAATATATATTCTAACTAATATAAATATATTAGTTAAATAATTACATAATTATAAGTTACATATCTATAAATTATGTAAATGTACATATTATGTTATACAATGGCATACTTATATAATCATGATTATATAAATTATGCGAATTATATAACATATTTATATAATTATTAAATTATGAAAATTATATAGCTTGTATAAATTATGCAAGTCAAATTTTATATACGTTATATAATCATATAATTTATGTAATTATATAATTTATATTTATATGATTTATATTATTTATGGAATTATGTTTATATAATTATGTGTTTACAATTATATAATTATAAACAAATTATAACTATAAATTATATTTTAAATTATAATCATAATTTATCAATTCTTATTAAATAAGGATTTCTAATTTAACAATTTAAATAATTTATATTTATATAATTTGTTATATAACTTATATTCATATAATTTTTTACATAATTTATGTGATTATATTTGTATGATTATGTGATTATAATCAATTATATAATTATCACTATAAATTATATTTTAAATTATAATTATAATTTATCAATTCTTATTAAATAAGGATCTCTAATTTAATAATTTGAATATATAGTTTAATAATACAATCAGAAGGATTAATTCATTTATCATGAATTAATGACCAGTACTGACTTAACAGTCGACACCCGCTAAGTTAGAGACACGCAGACGGAATGTGCCGTGACCACCGTCATTCCCTAATCACAGCAGAGAGAATGGCACATTCTCTCTGCTGCTCATGAGTGACGGCAGGTGGCCATCAGCCGGGCTCCCTGTCTCCCGCAGCCTGTGCCCCTCCTGCACTTGGCATCCCCACGTCTGCTTCCTGGAGGATGCCCTATGAGGGACCCCTGGCCCTGGGAGGGCTCCGTCCCTTCTCCGTCTGCTCTGCCGCCATGAGGGGCCCCCAGGAGCCCAGACCTGCAGAACAGTTAAAAGATGGGGCCTCAGGCTGGGCGCGGTGGCTCACACCTGCAATCCCAGCACTTTAGGAGCGTGAGGCAGGTGGATCACCTTAGGTCGGGAGTTTGAGACCAGCCTGACCAACATGGTGAAATCCTGTCTCTTCTACAAAAACAAAAATTAGCCAGGTGTGTGGCAGGTGCCTGTAATCCCAGCTACTCAGGAGGCTAAGTCAGGAGAATCACTTGAACCCGGGAGGCAGAGCTTACACTGAGCTGAGATGGAGCCACTACACACCAGCCTGGGTGAGTTTTTGTGAAATAAAAAAAGAAAGAAAGATGGGCCCTCTCGGGGAAGCTCTGCTGCCTGCAGGGTGCAGGAGCCGGTGGGAAGCCACTGCCCACCGACCTCAGGCAGAGAAGGCGGAGACTGTCCACGTGGAGGGGCTCTGCCTGGTTCGCTACGCTGTGTAGCCACGGTGCCCCACAGATGTCTCAGTGACAGGCTGCCCACACGGCAGAATGGCTGCTCTGGGGTCATGATATCACAGGGGATGAGGGCACTAACCCCTGCCCGGTGTACCCTCCAGGCACCAGGTCCACCTCCCGCCTGGCCAGCAGGACTTCTGGACAGGTGAAGGCCCACATGTCATAGGCATGGCAGCCTGGCACACCCCACCAGAGGAAGGCCCATTAGGGAATTCTCACATGTCCTATGTGGGAGTCATGTGAATCCTGCCCAGCTTCGAAAGCACCCTGGACCCCGTGCCACCCTGGCACACACTCAGCATGGTCCATGCTTGCCAGCCACTCCCCCAAAGATGCAACCTCACCCTAACCCCCACCACCGGGGAATGGGATTTTTTTTTAAATAGAGCCTCGCTCCGTTGCCCAGGCTGGAGTGCAGTGGTACAATCTCGGCTCACTGCAACCTCCACCTCCCGGGTTCAAGTGATTCTCCTACCTCAGCCTCCCGAGTGGCTGGGACTACAGGCATGCACCATGCCCAGCTAATTTTTTTATTTTTAGCAGAGATGGGGTTTCACTGTTGGTCAGGATGGTCTCCATCTCTTGACCTTTTGATCTGGCTGCCTGAGCCTCCCAAAGGGCTGGGATGACAGCTGTGAGCCACCATGCCTGGCTGGGATCTTATTTGAAAATAAAAGGGTCTTTGTGAGCTAGCAGAGTTGAGATGAGTCGGGGTCAGCAGATGAGGGAGATGCAGGCACACAGGAGGAGGCTGCATGGAGACACAGGCAGAGACTGCAGTGATGGGGCCACAAGCCCAGGGATGCTGGAGGTGCCAGGAGCTGGGAAAGGCAGGAAGGACCCTCGCTAGAACCGCCAGAGAAGGCGTGCCCGAGACACCTTATCTCAGACTGCCACCCTCCAGGACTGTGACAAGAATCCTGTGGATTTAAGCCCTGCGTGTGGTCATTTGGGACAGTGGCCCGAGGATGCAGACACAGGTACCTTCGATGTTTTGAAGCCATTGATGAGTTCCAGGAGGCATGTGGGGAACGGGGGCAGGGTCTTACGGGTCCTGTTCCCCTCAGCCTCTGCTGTGGCCTCTCTGGCCACTCCAGCCTCAGCCTTGTCCCTCCGAGCGGGCGCCGGGCCGCCCTCGTCCATGTCGCTGAGGTCTTCGATGGTGTCCATGGCCAGGATAGAGCCGTGCTTGACGCGCTGCAGATCCTCCGGCTGGGGCGGGTCGAACAGCTGCATCAGCTGCTTGCAGAAATGGTCGAGTGGGAAGCCGACAACATTAAGGAAGTCCCCGTGCACTGACTCAACCAGCATCCCGCCAAGAGCCTGGATCCCGTAGCCGCCTGCCTTGTTCCTGACGGGGGCAGCGGAAGGGAAGAGGTGACAACCAGGAGAAAGGTCTTCCCTGGTTAGATATGCCACAGCCACCAGGGCCGGGCACGGTGGCTCACGACTGTCATTCCAGCACTCTGAGAGGCTGACACCGGAGGGACACCTGAAGTTGTGAGTTTGAGACCAGCCTGGCCAACATGGAGAAACCCCGTCTCTCCTAAAAATGCAAAAATCAGCCAGGCATGGTGCTGGGCACCTGTGATCCCAGCTACTCAGGAGGCTGGTGCAGAAGAACTGCTTGAACCCGGGAGGTGGAGGTTGCAGTGAGCCGAGATTGCACCACTGCCCTCCAGCTTCAGAAACAAGCACAAGATTCCGCCTCAAAAAAAAAACCCGTGGCCAGGGCTGCCCTCCACTTTGGGAAGTCAGGCCAGAGGGTACAAGAACCAGACGCATCTTCTCTGGGTAGCTTCCTATTAAGGAGAGTTCAGTGCTGGGCCGAGGCGCTTTTCTCTCTTTAAAAAAACAACTTTATTTATTTTTCACTTTTATTTTTTGAGATGGAATCATCATATTACTATTAGTTGATATAAATTAAAATTAATCATTTAACAATAAGCATTAATCAAAATTATATTTATATATTACAGTATAACCTATTATAACACATATAAACATATAATATACATTTACATGATATGTCATATATATCCATATATAGTAATATATAGTAACCATTAACATGTATTATCTATGTAATTAACTTATATACAATTAACATGTAATATATAAATTATGTGACTGTAAATACAGTTCCATGTTACATTATGTCATGTATAATTACAGACACACTGTATGTTGTATGCTATAGATAACTGTGGTACATGTCCCTCTGCCACACAGCCTCAGGCTCAGCCCTGTGGGGGCAGGTAGAGGGCCTCCTTTCCCAAGGCTGGCTGGGACCCCACGTGTGAGGGTGCGCAGGCCTTCGTGTCTCCCCGCCCCCAGCGCCCCGAGACTCACATGGGCTCCCCACTGTGGATGTATTTCCAGAGCAGGTCCTCCGACAGCTCCGAGAACTTCACCATCGTTTCCTCGTAGAATTCCGAGACCCTGGTGTCCAGCTTATTGTCTGCAAGCACAGGGCCGTGGTGTGAGCGTGAATGCCAGCTTGTCCCCTGCAGGGCCTGACACCTGCAGGGCTGTGGTGCGCTGTTTACCTGAGTGTAGCGCACAGTTCAGACACGGAGGTTTGTGGTGGAAAATGTTTTATTTCAGACAAGTAAAGAGTGGGAAGTAGAAAAGTGCCCTTTTAAAGTTTCCTCTCTTGTTAAAGAATAAGTGTGCTAATAACTCTCTGTGAAGCCCCATCCTATGTAGCTGTTAGACATGCTGAGCTCACAGGCACATAGGACATTCTACGTCCTTGTACTTTCACCGAGATATCAGAGCTGGACATGCTCACAGGCGTGTCCCAGCTCTCCATGGCTGTCACCTGTTTAGAAAAGTTTTAAGTTGTCAGCCAGTCTGGCTCCGGCCCACAGAGCTCAGACACGACAGGAAGGATGACCCCACATACGTCAGGGATACATGTGTGTGTTTTCCTTGGTTCATTGTACTCTCGTGGCACGATGGGTAGTGAGGGTCCCCTCCCTGCAGCCCAGGACGTAAAAATTGCGTTGTTGAGATCCTTTGTCTCAGGGCTGATTTTGCTTTGCGCCACTGAGCATGTTTCCAACAAAAAGAGGGAAAGGACAGAACAAAAAAGAAGCCTATAAAATCACGGGGCGTAGGAAGAGGCCGAGAGTGCGACCCACGCTCTAGCAGGGAGAGCACCGGTGTGCTGTGAAGCCTTGGCGTGAAAGTTTTGGGGTCAACAAGAGGACTTCAGCAGCGGGTGGAAAAGCCACAATCATAGCATGAGCGCAGCTTGGGGGACCTGCAGGAGAGTTCCCCGATCAACTGGCCTGGGTCCAAGGGGCTCCCCCAAAATCCACGTCCACCTGGAACCTGAAAATGGGATCTTATTTTGAAATAGGAAATTTGTGGATGAAATTAGGGAAAGGGTGTCAAAATGAAATTATCTTGGGTTCAGGGTCGGTCCTAAGGCCAATGACAAGTGTCTGTAAGAGAGGCAGAAGAGGAGACACTGACATAGAGGAGCAGGTCTCGTAGAGACGGAGGAGGTGGAGGCTGGAGTGATGGGGCCAGAGGCACATGGATGCTGGAGCCCCAGGAACTGCGAGAGGCAGGAGGAAGCCTCCCCTAGTGGCTCCAGAGGAACTACACACAATTGTACTGGATGGAATATTAGTTCCCACAAAGGTTTTCGTGTTTTTTTTTTTTTTTTAAAAAAACTTCTGGTCGGGTGCAGGGCTCACGCCTGTAATCCCAGCACTTTGGGAGGCCAAGGTGGGCGGATCACGAGGTCAACAGATGGAGACCATCTGGGCCAACAAGGTGAAACCCCGTCTCTACTAAAATATAAAAATAAGCCGGGTGTGGTGGTGGGCTCCTGTAGTCCCAGGTACTCGGGAGGCTGAGGCAGAAGGGCTTGAACCTAAGAAGCAGAGGTTACACTGAGCCGAGATTGCGCCACTACACTCCAACCTGGCGCCTGGCAACAGAACAAGACTCTGTCTCCAAAAAAAAAAAAAAAAAAAAAAAACTACACAAAAAATATGGTCAAATATAGAATTGTGTATATTTTTAATATAAATGTTTTTGTTATATAAAACATATAAAATAAATATTATGTATTTTTAATAGAAATATAAAATGGTGCATCTGTATCTTAGGGCTGGATTCTATACTTATGTTATTAGCACGTGTTCCAAAATCATTAAAAAAACTCCTGTAATTCTAACATGAGTTAGTGTACACCATCAGTAATAATTACAATTGTTACGGTGTATGACACAGAGGTAACGAATGTCCTTATGTTTCACTACCGCGGCCCTAAAACTTTCTGTCATCCACAGACAGTCGGTGTCTCGTTTTGCTTCTCTTTATAAAATGGTTCTATAATCAACTATAGACCTCTAATGGGAGGCCGCGCACGGAGGCTCACTTTGGGAGGCCGAGGTGGGTGGATCACTACGTCAGGAGTTTGAGAGGTAGGGTTTCACCTACATGGTGAAACCCCACCTCTACTAAAAATACAAAAGTTAGCTGGTTGTGGTGGCGGGCGCCTGTGATCCCAGATATTAGGAGGCTGAGGCAGAAGTGCTTGAACCCGGGAGGAGGTTAGAGTGACCTCACATCACGCCACTGCACTTCAGCCTGGGCGACAGAGCAAGACTCTGTCTTGGGGCGGGGGGACGGGAAACAAGTACATTTACATACAGGTTTCTAACGACTTTCATTTTTTCTTGTTTTTTTGAGACAGAGTCTTGCTCTGTCACCCAGGCTGGAGTGCAGTGGTGAGATCTTGGCTTGCGGCAACCTCCGCCTCCCTGATTCAAGGGATTTTCCTGCCTCGGCCTCCCGAGTAGCTGGGATTACAGGCGCCCGCCACTACACCCCGCTAATTTTTGTATTTTTAGTAGAGACGGGGTTTCACCGTTTTGGCCAGGCTGGTCTCGAACTGTCAGCATCCAGTGATCCACCTGCCTGGGCCTCTCCAAGTGCTAGGATTATGGGCGTGTCACTGCACCTGCTCAGGTTTCTGATAACTTTAAAGATTGTGACATCAAAAATAAACACGAAAAAAGTTAAGACCCCCGGAAAACTGAAATGTTCGTAAATATCAAAGAAAACCAAACTTAACCGCATGGAGGAAACGAGTAAAAGTCTGAAGCAACGCTTTTAACTTTATATTTAAAACGTTACTGGCCCTTTGTCTGGTTTTCAAGAAAACTTTTTTTTTTGGACAGAGTTTTGCTCGTTGCCCAGGCTGGAGTGCCACTGTGGGGCGATCTCAGCTCACTGCAACCTCCACCTTGGGTTCAAGGGATTCTCCTGCCTCAGCCTCCCCAGTAGCTGGGATCACATGCACCTGCCACCATGACCAGCTAATCTATTTTTAGTAGAGAAGGAGGTTTCATCATGTTGGTCAGGCTGGTCTCGAACTCCTGACCTGAGGTGATCCACCCACCTTAGCCTCCCAAAGTGCTGAGACTACAGGTGTGAGTCACTGTGCCTGACCTAAAACTTTTCTTTTAAGCTATTAAAATCCCAGCTACTCAGGAGGGTGAGGTGGGAGAATGTCTTGAACCCAGGAGTTGGAGGCTGCTGTGAGCCGAGATCGCACCACTGCACTCCAGCCTGGGCAACAAGAGAAGACTCTGTCCCCACCCCGACCCCAAAACCAAAGAAAGAAATACCAAAAGGAGTTAAGCCATGAGCCCCATGATGGGAAGCGGGCTGTGCAGGGGTGTTTGTACCCGCCTTTTTGAGCTGAGAAACATCTGAGCGGCATTAAGGTTAAAGCTCAGATCATGAGATGGAGAGAAGGGTCTCTCTGTGGTCATAAGACACCACATGCCAACAGGACTCTGCCGTGGCATCACAGACATGCCAGACCCTGACGCAATCACAGTATTTTACACCACGTGCTTGGAAATCATCCTGCAAAGCCCTCGCCTGGCGTAGAAACTCGATTCTGTAGACACATTCCTTCCACTTCTAGGTCTTTTCTTTCTGTTTTTGAGATGGAGTCTTGTTCTTGTTGCCCAGGCTGGAGTGCAGTGGCGCGATCTCAGCTCACTGCAGCCTCCGCCTCCCAGGTTCAAACGACTCTCCTGCCTCGGCCTCCCTAACTGCTGGGATTACAGGTGCCCACCACGATGCCTGGCTAGTTCTTGTATTTTTAGTAGAGACAGGGTTTCACCATGTTGCCCAGGATGATCTCAAAGTCTTGACCTTGTGATCCACCTGCCTCAGCCTCCCTAAGTGCTGGGATTACAGGCCTGAGCCACTGCGCCCGACCTCTTCTGCATGTTTATAAGACAAATGGCACATTGTCCTTTCCCCTGCACTCTTCCAAATCAGCAAACAACTTTCGCAGGCACGCCATAGTCCAGGTCCCTCTGGGGGTGGGTGTGGGCATCCGCCCTCCTCCCTAGAGGCCATGGTCCCTCCAGTGTCCCATCCTGATCCCCGGGCCGCGGTTACCTTGGCTGAAGCACTGGACGATCGCCACACCGGTGCACACACTGTGTTCTCTGCCACTCAACCTGTCAGACAGAAGTGGTGCCCTCACTGTGAAACGTGGCAGTCACAGAACGGGTTTCCCAAAACCAGACAGGCAGCCAGGTGGCCTCTGCCCCGGCCCCTCCCCAGTCTCTTCTCCCCGATCGGCCCACCGTGGCGTCACCAGGGAAACTACTGAAAAACGCTGGGAGTATGTAAAAAATACACTGAATGATAAGAGGAATGATGGCAAGGAAAACCCAGCCACCCCCCAACCCGCAAGCGGAAAACGGCTTGGCACATTCTCAAGCAGCAAAACGATCTAGTTTATCAGTCACTCAGCTTCTCCCAATAGCAAACCTTTACGGACAGGCTGGGGAAGGGGGCACAAATCCCACGGGAAGCGGCCCTGACCAGAGGCCCCAGGCCGGGCAGCTCTCAGCACAGCCCACTTCTCTTGAGGGCAACAGCCTGTGGTGGGCCCCAGACCCTCTGTGATCAGTGCTGAGAATCCCAGACAATGAACAGTATGGAGGGAAGGGGACTGCCTCACTGCACAGCTCACATGGCACAGCACACACGGCACAGATCACACGGCACAGCTCACACGGCACGGCACAGCACACACAGCACAGCACACACGGAACAGATCACACGGCACAGCACACAAGGAACAGATCACACAGCACAGCACACACGGAACAGATCACACGGCACAGCTCAGACAGCACAGACGGCTACTCTTGGGCCCGGAACCCGAGACTGCCCCGCAGCCAGCATGGCGCTTACTGTGACAGCATTCTGTAGGCGTCCTGCTTGTCCACTGGCTTCTCCAGAATCAGCCGCCCCACGGTCTGCGAGAGGAAGGGGAAGGAGTTGATTCCCGCCATGTGAGTCAGGTCTGCTAACCTCACTGAACCATTCACAGAAGTCAGTTGTTTTTCGGAAATGAAACTGACACAGCCTGAGAGTCAACATTTTAAACAAGTAACTGCGCTTACCACGTCCTGCCTGGTTCCAGAATGTTCTCATCACTCCGAAAGGGGACCCTGTGCCCCTGAAGCTGTCGCCCCCACCTCTCCCCCGGCCCCTGGTAACAACCAATCCTATTTCTTTCACTGTGCATTTCCCCGTTGTGGACACTGCAGAGAGACTGAATCCTACAGCCGGCTGCGGTGGCTCTAGCCTGTAATCCCAACACTTTGCGACGCTGAGGCAGGTGGATCACGAGGTCAGGAGTTCGAGACCAGCCTGGCCAACACGATGAAACCCTGTCTCCACTAAAAACTACAAAAATTAGCTAGGCGTAGTGGTGGATGCCTGTAATCCCAGCTACTCGGGAGGCCGAGGCAGGAGAATCACTTGAACCTGGGAGGTGGAGGTTGCAGTGAGCTCAGATCGCGCCACTGCACTCCAGCCTGGGAGACAGAGCAAGACTCCATCTCAAAATAAATAAATAAATAAATAAAACAAAGAAAGAAATGGAATCCTGTAACGTATGGTCCTCTTTGATGTCCTCGAAGTTCATCTATGTGGCAGTCTTTTTAGAGTCATTCCCCTCCTGCCTCCTCCCCTCCCCTCCCCTTTCCTATGCTGCAGCCTTTTTAGAGCCCCTTCCCTCCCCTCCCCTTTCCTTGTTTTTGAGATGGACTCTCGCTCTGTTGCCCAGCCTGGAGTGCTGTGGCGGGATCTCGGCTCCCTGCAACCTCAGCCTCCTGTGTTCAAGCGATTCTCATGCCTCAGCCTCCAAAGTAGCCTGGATTACATTACAGGTGCTCACCATCACGCCCAGCTAATTTTTTGTATTTTTTGCAGAGATGGGGTTTCATCGTGTTGGCCACACTGATCTCGAACACCTGACCTCAGGTGAGGTGCCCGCTTCGGCCTCCCAAAGCGCTGGGATGGATGACAGGCGTGAGCCACCGCGCCCGGCCAACCTTGTTCCTTTTCATAGCTGCGTAGTACTCCACCGTGTGTGGATGATCCATGATGTAATTACTTTTACCCACTCATGGACCCTTGGGCCGTTTGGACCTTTTAGCTGTTGTGAACGGTGCTGCTGTGAACATTCATGTATAAGTTTTTGGGTGAACACCTGTTTAGTTTTTTTTTGGAGACAGAGTCTTGCTTTGTTGCTCTGTCAGCTCACTGCAACCTCTGCCTCCCAGTTCAAGAGATTCTTCTGCCTCAGCCTCCTAAGTAGCTGGGATGACAGGTGTGATTATTATCACGCACAGCTTTTTTTTTTTTAATTGTATTTTTAGTAGAGACAGGGTTTCACTATTTTGGTCAGGCTGGTCTCGAACTTCTGACCTTGTGATCCGCCCACCTCGGCCTCCCAAAGTGCGGGTATTACAGGCGTGAGCTGTCGCTCCTGGCCCTTCCTGTGCCTTCAGGCCTCTCATTTGGTGGTACTTTCTGGATGGAAAGTGATGGTAGTTTCCGGAACTGAGTCCAGCCCTTCCCTCTGCCTCCGAGGTTTATTCTGGGAGTGGCTCATCACCAGCAGGCATTGCCGGCGACCCTCAAAGGACCTGCTGTCTTCACAGGGACCCAGAACAGGCCGAGCCCCCAGGCACGTGAATAGCAAATGGAACGTTAGAGAAGAGACACCCTGAAGGCACTCACCACAATCGTGTCCGCTCTGATGACCATGTCCGGACCTCGCAGGTCCTTCTGCAAGAAAGCCAGACCTTGATTTATGTATCTATTTATTTATCCGCAGGTCCTTCTGTAAGAAAGCCAGACTTCGAGTTATTTATTTATCCATCCATCCCCAGGTCCTTCTGTAAGAAAGTGAGACATCTATCTATCTATCTATCTATCTATCTATCTATCTATCTGGGACAGAGTCTCACTCTGTTACCCAGGCTGGAGTGCAGTGGCGTGATCTCCGCTCACTGCAACCTCCGCCTCCCGGGTTCAAGTGACTCTCCTGCCTCAGCCTCCCGAGTAGCTGGGATGACAGGCGTGTGCCTGCATGCCCCGCTAATTTTTGTATTTTTAGTAGAGACGGAGTTTGACCACGTTGGCCAGGCTGGTCTTGAACTCCTGACCTTGTGATCTACCCACCTCGGCCTCCCAAAGTGCTGAGATTATAGGCGTGGGCCACTGTGCCCAGCCTGCTATGGTAATTGTATATATTATAACCGATAGCATAGTGAATGCAGTAGTGTATCACATAACACATAATAATCGATAAGCCACATTATTTCTATGTCGTAAATGATACCCAAGTTCATTGCAACAGTGTGCTATGATGTTAATTATATGAACTATGTTAATATATTGTAACTGATATTAGTGTTCTTGTTGTTTCTTAATTTTTTTTCTTTTGAGACGAAGTCCGGGCTGGAGTGCAATGGTGCGATCTCAGGTCACCGCAATCTCCACCTCCCAGGTTCAAGTGACTCTCCTGCCTCAGCCTCCAGAGCTGGGATTACAGGTGCGCCACCATGCCCGACCAATTTTTGTACTTTTAGTAGAGATGGGTTTCACCATGTTGGCCAGGCTGGTCTCGAACTCCTGACCTGGTGATCCGCCCGCCTCGGCCTCCCAAACTGCTGGCATTACAGGTGTGAGCCACTGTGCCTGGCCTATATTTCTCATATTTTCTGCAACGGTGTACTGTATGGTAACCCACAGCCATGGCTAAGCTACAGTAACTCTCTGCCCTCAAGGACACCGTGAGGTTCATTGTGACAGCGCGTTACGACACAGTGACAGCTCTGGTAATTGTACATACTGTGGACGATAATACATTAATTGCAGTTGTCTGTTACACAACATATAGTAATCCATAAGCTACAATAATTCTATATCCTAAATGATACTAATGGCTTCCTTGTCAGTGTGTTAGAACACACAGTAATAGCTATGTTAATATGATATATTGTAACTGATATTATTATTATTATTTTTAAATTTTTTAGATGGACTCCAAGCTGGAGTGCAATGGCTCAATTTCAGCTCACTGCAATCTCTGCCTCAGGGTTCAAGGTATTCTTATGCCTCAGTCTCCCGAGTAACTGGGATTACAGGTGCGCCACCACGCCCGACTGATTTTTCTATCTTTAGTAGAGATGGGGTTTCACCATGTTGGCCAGGCTGGTCTTGAACTCCTGACCTCGTGATCCACCTGCCTTGGCCTCCCAAAGTGCTGGGGTTACAGGCATCACATCCAGCCCATAATTCTATATTATAAATGATAATGTTACATTAATTGCAATCATATATTACACAGTGGGACAGGAATAATACTATTATATTAATTGTGAGTGAATATTGTTTTTTTGGACTCTTTTCAGGTGGAGTCTTGCTCTGTCACCCAGGCTGGCGTGCAGTGGCATGACTGTGACTCACTGCAATCTCTGTCTGCTGGGTTCATGCAATTCTTCTGCCTCAGCCTCCTGAGTAGCTGGGATTACAGGCACCCACCACCACGCCCTGCTTATTTTTGTATTTTTAGTACAGACAGGGTTTCACCATGTTGGCCAGGCTGGTCTTGAACTCCTGACCTCAGGTGATCTGCCCACCTCAGTCTCCCAAAGAGCTGGGATTACAGGTGTGAGCCACGGCACTTGGCGGCAAGTGAATGTTATAACACGTAGTCATAGATAAGGCCCAGAAATTCTATACCATAAATGATGCTGTTACATCAGTTGCGAGAGAATATTATAACACATAGTCATACATAAGCTCCATTCATTCTACAACATAAATAATACTGCTGGGCACAGTGGCTCACGCCTGTAATCCTGGCACTTTGGGAGGCCGAGGCAGGCAGATCACGAGGTTAGGAGTTCGAGACCAACCTGGCCAACATACTGAAACCCTGCCTCTGCTAAAAACAAAAATTAGCCAGGTGTGGTGACACGCACTTATAGTTCCAGCTACTCGGGAGGCTGAGGCAAGAGAATCGCTTGAATGCAGGAGGCGGAGGTTGCAGTGAGCTGAGATAGTGCCATTGCACTCCAGCCTGGGCAACAAAGTGAGACTCCACCTCAAAAAAAAAAAAGATACTATTATGTCAATTGCAAGAGAATATTATAACACATCGCAATAGATAAGCTCCTTTAATTCTACATCACAAATGATGCTATTCGTCACTTGTCATAGTACATGACATTATAACATAGTAACAGCGAGGCTGTGCCACCAATTGCATCTTGTAAATGACATTATATCAATTCAAGAGAATATTATAACATATAGTGACATAAGCTTCATTAATTCTGTATGATAAATTGTGCTATTCTATCAATTGCAAGAGATTCTTATAACACATAGCAATAGATAAGCTCCGTTAATCCTGTACCATAAATGATGCTATTCGTCACTTGTCATAGTACATGACATTATAACATAGTAACAGCGAGGCTGTGCCACCAATTGCATCTTGTAAATGACATTTATTTGTATCATATATATTTAAGACCTGCAAGTCCCCTTGTTATAACAAAGAAACTTTCTTTTATTGTTTTTTTTATTGAGACAGTCTCACTCTGTGGCCCAGGCTAGAGTGCAGAGGCATGATCTCTGCTCTCTGCAATATTCGCCTCCTGGGTTCAAGCAATTCTCCTGCCTCAGCCTCCTGACTACCTCGGATTACAGGTGCACCCGCTATCACACCTGGTTAAGTTTTGTATTTTTAGTAGAGACAGGGTTTCACCATGTTGGCCAGGCTGGTCTCGAACTCCTGACCCTGTCATCTACCCCATCAGCCTCCCAAAGTGCTGGGACTATAGGCGTGCACCACCACACCTGGCTAATTTTTGTATTTGTAGTGAACACGGGGTTTCACCATCTTGGCCCAGCTGGTCTTGAACTCTAACCTTGCAATGCACCTGCCTCGGCCTCCCAAAGTGCTGGGATTACAGGCCTTAGCCTGCGCGCCCGGCCTATGAAAGGAATGGTCATGAGGGCGAAAGGAAGGGCCCCCTTGCCTGGTACATGCGGTTGGCCACTTCCAGAGCCTTCTGCTTGGTGGTCTCCATGGCGTACCCATACAGCATGGCGAAGGAGGTTTTGTCCAGCTTCTCTTTGAACCTGGAGGGAACCACCTCAAATCTCAGACCCTGCAACAGAAGAAAGGGGTCAGGAGGGTTGATGACAGACCCCAAGGAGACGGAACTTAACGTGCAAGATGAGCAGGACGTGTGGTGTTGGCTACACTCCTCGGTCCTCTCCTGGGTGACCTCATCCATCTGCTGAGCTTTCCCTAAGTGTGGCTGGGGGGCCTTCGGGATCTGGCCAGGGGACTTTAGGGACTGACAAGGGATCTTTCTGGCTCTCGAGGAAAAAGGCTGGCAAAGGAAAAAGCCAGAACAGAGAGGCTGGCAGGGAATGCCGACTCGGGCCGTGAACCCACGAGCCAGCCTCGTCAGAGGGTTCCTGGAGCCTGGAAGTTTGGGACAGACAAGAACATCCATACATAGAAAATTCCGGAAAAATGCCAGCAATGGCAGCTTCAGGAGGGGCATGAAAGCTGGCTCTAAGTCAATCCCAGACCACACCATCTGCTGGGAGACCTGGCCTGGAGGCAGTGACCCCCGCAGAGGCTGTGGAGTCAGGAATGATGGTGGTCACTGCCCCCAGTGTGGGTGGCCATGGCTGCCACGCCTGCCAGGACCCAGGGAACTCCACATCTCGCCTCTGACTGAGCAGAAGCATGGCCATCTTGGACACACGCCTCCGCCATGTTGGACACACGCTGCCATGTTGGACACACGCCGCCATCTTGGACACACGCCCACATGTTGGACACATGCCGCCATCTTGGACACGCCTCCATCTTGGACACACAGCGCCATGTTGGACACACGCCGCCATCTTGGACACACACAGCCATGTTGGACACACGCCAACATGTTGGACACATGCCGCCATCTTGGACACAGGCCTCCATCTTGGACACACAGCGCCATGTTGGACAGATGCCGCCATCTTGGACACACACAGCCATGTTGGACACATAGTGCCATGTTGGACACACGCAGCCATGTTGGACACACAGCGCCATGTTGGACACACGCTACCATATTGGACACACGCCACCATCTTGGACACAGGCTGCCATCTTGGACACACGCCACCATGTTGGACACATATCGCCATCTTGGATACATGCCTCCATGTTGGACACACAGCACCATCTTGGACACTCAGTGCCATCTTGGACACATGCCGCCATGCTGGACACATAGCCCCATCTTGGACACACAGCACCATCCTGGATACATACACTGCTGTCTTGAATACACTCAGTGCCATCCTGGACACACGCTACCATCTTGGCCAGACAGTGCCATCTTGGACACACACCGTGTTGGACACACTGCACCATCTTGGACGCAATCCACCAACTGGGACACACACCACCATTTTGGATACATGGCGCCATAATGGACATATGGTGCCATATTGGACACACAGCACCATCTTGGACACATGGTGCCATCTTGGACACAGACTGCCATTTGAAGTTCCCTTGATTAAAAACCACCTAAATCCAGCCCAAAAACATCAGCCTAATGGCTGATATCAGCATGATCGGAAACATTCCAGCTCTGGAATAAACGCCCTGCGACCAGAAACACGCCAACCCCAAGATAACCTCCCTTCCAACCAGAGACACGTCAACCCTGCAATAAACCTTCCCTCACACAGAAACATTCCGAGCCTGCGATATGCTCCCCCTTCCTAAACCTTTAAGCGCCCTGAATCTGTAGGAGAGAGCACTCCTGACCTAACTCTACCAGAAGCCCCGCTCAGGTTTATCCTCCAAAATAAACCTGTCATTCACAGTTGAGCCACTTTTCTTGTTTCCTTCCTCTTTAACTTACATTTGGTGCCAAAACCTGGGATGGGTATTGGGGACAGAGGCTCTCTTGCAACCCAGAAGCAGTGGGTAACAGCAGACTTAGGTAGAAAAAATCTTGGGGATGCTGAGTTTCTTCTCAGGTTGACCATCCTCTTTTAATTTTTTTCTTTTTGAGATGGAGTTTCATTCTGTGGCCCGACTGGAGAGCAGTGGCACGATCTTGGCTCACCACAACTGCCGCCTCCCAGGTTAAAGCGATTCTCCTGCCTCAGCCTCTTGAGTAGCTGAAATAACAGGTACTCACCACCATGCCTGGCTAATTTTCCTATTTTTAGTAGAGACAGGATTTCACCACGTTGGTCACACTGGTCTCAATCTCTTGACCTCATGATCCATCCTGCTTGGCCTCCCAAAGAGTCGGGATTACAGGCATAAGCCACTGTACCTGGCTGACCGTCCTCTTTATAAAGAGGATTCTGGGTCTCTGTGTTTTGTCTGGGATGCCTAGAAAAACAGATCCTCCTGGCAGCCTCTTACCAGCCCAAATGGATGCCACACAGTCCCACATCCTTATATCCTGCCCTCTGGGCTATGTCCTCTGCAGCCTTACCAGACTTGGCTTTCAGGGGAGCCTAAAGCAAGGTGTTTAATTCGTTACAGCAACGTGCCCTGGCCCCAGTGCAAACACCATCATGACAGCTGATGGCCCAAAAATGGCACCTTTAACTTTCAAATTCGCAGGGACCTTGACAAGTTTATCACAAGGAATGGCAAATGGCAAGAGGCTCCCTAGACTCGGGCTTTCTTCTACCCACCCTATGTCAAGAGCGTGGACTCCTCATGACATCCTTCTTCTTTTATTTTTTTTTTTGCTTTTGAGACGGAGTTTCACCATTGTCACCCAGGCTGGAGTGCAGTGGCACCATCTCGGTTCACTGTAAACTCCACCTCCCAGATTCAAGCAATTCTCCTGCCTCAGCTTCCGGATTAGCTGGAATTACCGGTGGCCGCCATCATATCTGGCTAATATTTTCAGATTTTTAGTAAAGATGGGGTTTCACCATGTTGTCCAAGCTGGACTCAAACTCCTGACCTTGTGATCCACCCACCTTGACCTCCCAAAGTGCTGGGATTGCAGGTGTGAGCCACCATGTCCGGTGACATCTTTTTTTTGAGACAGAGTCTCACTTTGTAATCCAGGCTAGACTGCAATGGCATAATCTCAGCTCACTGCAACCTCCCAGGTTCAAGCGATTCTCCTGCCTCAGCCTCCCGAGTAGCGGAGATGACAGGCACTTGCCACCACACCCGGCTACTTTTTTTGTATTAGCAGCAGAGACGGGGTTTCACCACGTTGGCCAGACTAGATTCGAACTCCTGACCTCGTGATCCACCTGCCTTGGCCTCCCAAAGTGCTGAGATTACAGGTTTGAGCCACCACGCCCGGCCCCATCCTTCTTCTTATGAAAACAGTCCACAGGTCTCTCCTTCCTTGGAAACCTCTTCCTCCCAAACCCTTTGATCCTGCAGATAAACTCTGTACTCTCAACCCCTGCATCCGTTCCTCACCCATCCTCACTCTCCGTCCCTCCTGCCCGCAAGCCTTTAGCCCCAAGCCTGGCCTCTCCCGTTTTCCATCCTAAAATGGTTCAAGCAGTCCAAGCTAGGCTGCTCTTCTCCCAATCTGGGAGGTGCCTCGGGCTGACGGCAATGCTTGCTTCCTGCACTTCTCCAGGTCTGATTTATCACAGATCGAACAGCTCCTGAGATGGTCCTCTGAAACGCCCTCTCATTATCACACGTAATTCCTGCACATAACCCAATCATTTAATGTAACTTGGCACAACATGTATGTCATTCTAACCTCCACCCTCAGCCATGCTTTAAAAAACAAACAAACAAAAGAGCTCAGCTTCATTAAAATAGATATCCAAGCTGTAAATATACTCAAAAGGCCTTTATGGTTTTCTGTTCCTAAACATTTTTTTTGGCAGGACACGGTGGCTCAGGCCTGTAATCCCAGGACTTTGGGAGGCCGAGATGGGTGGATCACGAGGTCAGGAGTTCCCGAGCAGCCTGACCGATATGGTGAAACCTTGATCCTACCAAAACTACAAAAATGAGCAGGGCGTGCTGGCATGTGCCTGTAGTCCCAGCTACTCGGAAGGCTGACACAGAATTGCTTGAACCTTGAACCCGGGAGGCGGAGGTTGCATTGAGCTGAGATTGCACCACTGTGCTCCAGCCTGAGTGACAAAGTGACGCGTCATCTAATAAATAAATGAAAAATAAATCTTGTTTTCCTGGAAAGCTTTTTGCTCATTTGACTTAATTTCTTTTCTCCGCTCTGTCCTGTCTCCAGTGCTACATGTATAAGAGACCCTAAAACAACTTCTGGTGGCCTGGGACTCCTTGAGAAAACAGAAAAGGCACCACAAATCCCATTTGGGGAAAAATCTGTTTTCCTTATGGAACCCCTGGAATTAAGTGGTCAGGTGTGGTGGCTCACGCCTGTAATCCCAGCACTTTCAGAGGCTGAGGCGGGTGGATCACCGGAGGTCAGGAGTTCAAGACAAGCCTGGCTAACATGGTGATACCCCATCTGTACTAAAAAGACAAAAATTAGCTGGGTGTGGTGGTGGGTGCCTGTAGTCCCAGCTACTTGTGAGGCTGGGGCAGGAGAATCACTTGAACCCGGGAGGCAGAGGTTGCCGTAAGCTGAGACTGTGTCACTGCACTCCAGCCTGGGCGAGAAGAGCAAAACTCTGTCTCAAAATAAGTAAATAAAAAATAAAAACAAGTAAGTACTTCTGAAAAATCTGTCTTCCATCTGTACTTGTTACAGGCCCTGGGAACTGTCTTCCTAGCCCTCTTTTTAAAGGCCTCACCCTAAGGCCAATAATTGAACTGGGAAATTAGCCCGGCACAGTGGCTCGCTCAGGCTTGTAATCCTAACGCTTTGGGAGGCCGAGGCGGGCAGACTGCCTGAGTTCAGAAGTTCGACACCAGCCTGGGCAACACAGTGAAATCTCGTCTGTACTAAAATACAAAAGAAAGTAGCTGGGTGTGTGGCACGAGCCTGTACTTTCAGCTACTCAGGAGGCTGGGGCAGGAGAATGGCTTGAACCCGGGAGGTGGAGGCTGCAGTGAGCCGAGATTGCGCCACTGCACTCCAGCCTGGCAACAGAGCAAAACTCCATCTCTACAAAAAAAAAAAAAAAAAAAAATAAAGAAATCTTATAACTAGTGAATCTTCTTTTGATTACCTATGTGACTATCTGTGTCGTATGCGTGACATGTCTGTTAAAAGAACTCAATGTAACTGGCCTAAAAAAAATATGCACTTAAGACAAATACTTTTTTTTTTGAGATGGAGTCTCACTCTGCTGCCCACACTGGAGTGCAGTGGCATGATCCCAGATCACCGCAACCTCCCGGGTTCAAGCAATTCTCCTGCCTCAGCCTCCTGAGTAGCTGGGACTATAGGTGCATGCCACCACACCCGGCTAATTTTTGTATTTTTCTTAGAGACGGAGTTTCACTATGTCGGCCAGGCTGGTCTTGAACTCCTGACCTCGTGACCCGCCTGACTCGGCCTCCCACACTGCTGGGATTACAGGCGTGAGCCGCCTTGTTAGGCCTTAAGTCAAGTAGTTTTAGGGAAAAAGTAAAAGCTCTGAGATCACTCAGTTCATGTAACTTGAATGTTTAAAAATTACAGGTACAGTAGCATTAGAAGTGCCTTAAAGGCTGCCGGCCTACATATTTCTGTGTGTTTATTAATGAAACGGTTTCTTACTTATCTCTGCCAAATACTACAAGGTGTCACAACTTGGCATAAAGGCTAGACAAGTATAACTCAGCCCAAACAAAATCATCTTTGCTTGTGCATTTTTTTTTTTTGAGACAGAGTTTCGCTCTTGTTACCCAGGCTGGAGTGCAATGGCACGATCTCGGCTCACCGCAACCTCTCCTGGGTTCAGGCAATTCTCCCACCTCAGCCTCCTGAGCAGCTGGGATTACAGGCACATGCCACCACGCCCAGCTAATTTTTGTGTTTTTATTAGAGACGGGGTTTCACCATGTTGACCAGGATGGTCTTGGTCTCTTGACCTAGTGATCCGCCCACCTCGGCCTCCCAAAGTGCTGGAATTATAGGCGTGAGCCACTGCACCCAGCCTTTTTATTTTTATGTATTTTTTTGACACGGAGTCTTGCTCTGTCGCCCAGGCTGGAGTGCAATGATGTGATCTCAGCTCACTGCAACCTCCACCTCCTGGGTTCAAGTGATTCTCCTGCCTCAGCCTCCCAAGGAGCTGGGAATACAGATGCCCGCCACCACACCCAGCTAATTTTTGTGTTTTTAGTAGAGATGGGGTTTCGCTGTTGGACCTGAACTCAGGTGATCCACCTGCCTCGACCTCCCAAAATGCTGGGATGGGGAGCCCCAGTGCCCGGCCTGATCCTGCTTAAAAGGTGGTTTTATAATCAGCTGCAAAGCTCTAACAGATGCTCGTAAATGCAGGTTTCTGACAACTTTGGAGATTGTCACATCAGAATAGAAAGGAAAAAAAGTTTGGGATTTTTGAAAAGCCAAAATGTTCATTAATATCAAGCAGGACAGAAATGAACTGAATGGACTCAACTAATAGGAGACTGGGGTGATCTTTTTCACGTTTTAAGTCTTCTTAATTTTTATGGCAATAAAGTTATTTGCATAAATGCAATCACAATCTGCGTTCTGGCTGGGCTGTGTGGCTCACGCCTGTGATCTCAGCACTTTGGGAGGCCTAGGAGGGTGGACTGCCTGAGGTCAGGAGTTTGAGACCAGCCTGATCAACATGGCGAATCCCAGTATCTACTAAAAATTAGCCAGGAATGGTGCCATGCACCTGTAATCTCAGCTACTCAGCAGGCTGAGGCAGCAGAATTGCTTGAACCCGAGACACAAAGCCTGCAGTGAGCCAAGATCGCATGACTGCACTCCAGGCTCAGCAACGAGAGCAAAACTCTATGTCAGAGGAAAAAAACAAAAAAGTCAGGTGTGGTGGCAGGCACCTGTAGCCCCAGCTACTTGGGAGGCTGAGGCCGGAGAATTGTTTGAACCTAGGAAGTGGAGGTCACAGTGAGCCAAGATTGTGCCACTGCACTCTAGCCTGGGCAATGGAGCAAGACTCCATCTCAAAAAAGAAAAAAAAAAAAAAAATCGGCCAGTCTTGGTGGCTCACACCTGTAATCCCAGCACTTTGGGAGGCTGAGGTGTGCAGATCACCTGGGGTCAGGAGTTTGAGACCAGCCTGGCCAAGATGTTGAAACCCCGTCTCTACCAAAAATACAAAAACTAGCTGGTTGTGGTGGCGTGTGTCTGTAATGCCATCTACTCGAGAGGCAGGAGAATCACTTGAACCTGGGAGGTAGAGGTTGCACTGAGGCAAGATGACACCATTTCATTCCAGCCTGGACAAGAGTGACACTCCGTCTCAAAAAAAAAATAAAATCTGTTTTCTTTAGTAACAGGACACAACAGGAAAAACTGGCTATTTTGCCAAGGCTTTGGCTGGATTGGTGTACACCCCTCTAAAAAATCAAACTTGAGGCCGGGCGCAGTGGCTCACGCCTGTAATCCCAGCACTTTGGGAGGCCGAGGCGGGCGGATCACAAGGTCAAGAGATCGAGACCATCCTAGCCAACATGGTGAAACCCTGTCTCTACTAAAAATACGAAAAAATTAGCTGGGCCTGGTGGCGCACTCCTGTAGTTCCAGCTACTGGGGAGGGTGAGGCAGGAGAATCGCTTGATCCTGGAAGGCAGAAGTTGCAGTGGGCCGAGACTGTGCCACTGCACTGGAGCCTGGGTGACAAAGCAAGACTCTGTCTCAATTAAAAAAAAAAAATCCAACTTGATTTATGGAGCCAATAAAACTGTTGGAAACTGGCCTCATCTTCTGTGTATACAGTCACCGTACAGAGTCCCTGATCTGCGCTAAGACTGTCCCTTTCTCACAGGCCAGGAACCCCAAATTACCTTGAAACCTCAAGAGGAAAGGAATTCGTCCAACTCATAGGTATTTAATGGTGCAAACCCATGGTGGGCTCAGCTTTAAAAAGGTCCTATGTGGGGTCGGGTGCGGTGGCTCACACCTGTAATCCCAGCACTCTGGGAGGTGGAGGCGGGTGGATCATGAGGTCAGGAGTTCAAGACCAGCCTGGCCAAGATGTTGAAATCCCGTTTCTACTAAAAATACAAAACTTGGCTGGGTGCAGTAGCAGGCACCTGTAATCCCAGCTACTTGAGAGGCTGAGGCAGAGAATCACTTGAACCCGGGAGGAGGGGGGTGCTAGAGATTGCAGTGAGCTGAGATTGTGCCAGGGCACTCGAGAGTGAGACTCTGTCTCAAATAAAAAAAGGTCCTACCTTAGATTCCTTGTGTGGAACAAAGTTCCATCAAAGCCAATTTAAAGGGCCTATGTAAAAATTAATTTATTCTTGGCCGGGTGTGGTGGCTCAGACCTGTAATCCCAGCTACTCAGGAGGCTGAGGCAGGAGAATTGCTTGAATGGGGGGTGGGGAGGGGCTGGCAGATGGGGGGGTGGAAGTCGCAGTGAGCCAAGATCGCAGAATTGCACTCCAGCCTGGTGACAGAGTCCGTCTCAAAATAAATAAATACAAATAAAAAGTAAAACTATTATTCTTGCTACAGTGAATACAAATAATTAGGCCAAGTATCAGCCTTGGGCATGTGTGGTGGCTCACGCCTGTAATCCCAGTACTGAGAGGCCGAGTCGGGCGGATCACCTGAGGTTGGGAGTTCGAGACCAGACTGACCAACATGGAAAAACCCCTGTCTCTCCAAAAATTACAAAGTTAGCTGGGTGTAGTGACACACACCTGTAATAGCAGCTACTCGGGAGGCTGAGGAGGAGAATTGCTTGAACCAGGGAGGTGGAGGTTGCATGAGATGGCACCACTGCACTCCAGCCTGGGCTACAAGAGCGAAACTCCGTGTCTAAATAAATAAATAAATTGAATAAAATAAAAATAAAGCAAAGCCATCTTACCATAATTATTCTTTCAATAAAACTGACAAAACTGGAAAAAGGAAAATTATGTTTCAAAACCTGTAGTCACACCTGCTGTCAGATTCTGGTCTTGTCTAGCGGTTTTTGGTTTTTATTATTTTCTCCAGTTTGAATTCAATTCTGTATCTTCTGGCTACAAGCCTTCAAAGTAATGTTTTCAGGTTTTTTTCCTTTTTCTTTTTGCCATTTGTTCTAACTGAAAACCACTGAAACCTAAGCTGTGCTTTCTCATAGCTCTATGAATGAAAAACTAGATGTTTCAACGGGGGATGGCTGGAAGCCCTCCAAAATAAGCAGGGCTACCAGGAACAAACCAGTCTTCTCCCCTCCAGTGCTCTCCCCCATGTGATTAGGCTTCCAGAAGAAGCAGACACCCAAGGCGCCTAGCACCCACAATCAAATCTCCCCCATCCAGGGTTCCAGGAAACACTTCCCACAGGCCACCTGCAAAGCCAACCTTCAGCCACTAGGACCCACTCCATCCCTAGAAGACTGAAGTCCCTCTTTTCTCCCACATCCGTAGGAGTCCTGGGTCACTCTGCCCCCTCCCCTCATCCCTAGGGGTCCCGGGTCACTCTCCTGCCCCATCCCTAGGGGTCCCGGGTCACTCTCCTGCCCCATCCCTAGGGGTCCTGGGTCACTCACCCCCTATCCCTAGGGGTTCCAAGTCAGTCTCCCCTCCCCGACCCCTACAGGTCCAGGGTCGCTCTCCCCTCCCCCGTCTCTAGGGGTCCCGGGTCACTCTCACCTCCTATCCCTAGGGGTCCCTGGTAACTCTCCCCTCCCCTATCCCTGGGGGTCCCGGGTCACTCTTCCCTCCCCCATTCCTTGGGGTCCCGGATCACTCTCCCTTCCCCATCCCTAGGGTCCCAGGTCACTGTCCCCTCCCCCATCCCTAGGGGTCCTGAGTCGCTGGGCCCAGCTGGTTCGGCCCCTCTGTCCCCGGTCCCCGCCCCGATCAGGCCCAGGCCGCACCGCGTTGCTGAGGCTCTCCCGGCTGCGTGGACAGGTCCTGGGCAGCACCACGCGTTTCTGCAGCAGCTTCCCCATAACCGGAAGAGCACCAAGGCGTCTACGCCGGGAGCCGGAAGTCCGCAGACTTGAGCCCGGAGCCGGAGGCGTGAGCATCTCTGCCCCGGAAATACCGCGGCCGGAGTTCCGCCTCCCCGAGGCCACGCCCAGATCACGCCTCCATCGACTTCACGCGGGGTCACGCCAAGCCCCGCCGCCCTCGACCTCGCCTCTAGGCCACGCCCAGAGCACGTCTCCAACTCCCTCCCGCGAGGTCACGCCCAGACCACGCCTCCATCGACCTCCCGTGAGGCCACGCCTCCGTGGACCTCCCGCTAGGCCACGCCCAGGCCACGCCGTCATAGGGCTCTCCTGAAGCCACGCCCCCATGTCCGCCCCTCTAGGCCACACCCAGGGCACACACCCTGTCTCCCCTCCGGCTCCACCCCCGCCGCCGGCGAAACTCCGCCCCTAGCTCGGCTCCCGGGGCCTGTCCCCGCCCATGGCACTCGCCCGTGGCACTCGCCCCGCCCGTTCAGCGGAGGCTGACCTTCCGGCTGGACGCGCAGGTTGTGGTGGTCCCTTGGGAGGAAAGGCGGGAGTGGATATTTGGGGTTCCTTGCGGGCGCCAAGTGGATCATGGAAATGCTGGAGTTCCGGTGGCTGAGGTAGTGGGCAGCTGTGGGGGTGGGGGCTTCTTATTCGCACAGGGGGGCCGGGCTTTGTCATGGGGGTCTTGTGGGCACCACGTTTGAGAATGTGGAGGACACGCGGGTTCCCTGACGGCCAGCGGCGAGTGTCCTGGAGTTGGGGGCTCCCTCTAGGCCAGGTGCGAGTAGCGTGGAGTTGGGGTTCCGGGTTACTCTCCCCTCCTTCGTCCTTAGGGGGCTCCAGTTACTCTCCCACCCCCAACCCTCGGGGATCTCGGGTTACTCTCCCCTCCCCCATCCAGGTTGGAGCGGCGCTGAGATGGGGGTCCCCACGGGCATGGAGGGAGGGGTGTGGAGAAGGGGGGTCCCCTCGGGACATGTGGGAGGGGCGTGGAGATGGGAGTCCCCGCAGGCATGGTGGGAGGGGTGTGGAGAAGGGGATCCCCTCGGGCCAGGTGGGAGGGGTGTGGAGAAGGGGGTCTCCTCGGGCCAGGTGGGAGGGGTGTGGAGAAGGGGGTCCCCTCGAGACAGGTGGGAAGGGCGTGGAGAAGGGGGTCCACTCGGGCCAGGTGGGAGGGGCATGGAGTTGGGGGTCTCCTCGGGACATGGGGGGCGTGGAGATGGGAGTCCCCGCGGGCATGGTGGGAGGGCGTGGAGAAGGGGGTCCCCTCGGGCCAGGTGGGAGGGTTGTGAATATGGGGGTCGCCTCCGGCCAGGTGGGAGGGGCGTGGATCTGGGGTTCCGTCGGGCCAGGTGGGAAGGGCGTGGATATGGGGGTCCCCGCGGGCACGGTGGGAGGGGCTTGGAGATGGGGGTCCCTTCGGGTGGGTGGGAGGGGCGTGGCTATGGGTCCCCGCGGGCATAGTGGGAGGGGTGTGGAGAAGGGGGTCCCCTCGGGGCGTGGTGATGGGAGCAGCCTGGGGACTCCCTGTGGGCGCAGGGTGGGCGCTGTGAGGTCCGGGGCGCCCTGGTGTCGGCTGTGCCTTCACCCGCTAAACGGACCCCACCTCCAGGTCGCCGGGTCCCTGGCGCGCCGCAGGCTGCAGGGGGCGCCCGTGAGCTGTGCGAGGAGTTTTTTTCTTAAACCCCAGGAAGTTTCACACCCACCTGCTGGGTGCACACCCAGTGTGCTGTGGAGACTCGGGTACCGTTTCCCAGCCTCTGTGACGCAAAAGATTGCGAAATAAAATGTTAGAAATAATCATGTGGGCATTATGGTCCAAGGTAATAGTAATAATAATAATAATAATAATGTACCCAGATCATATTGCAGTCATGTCTATGCACAGAAAATAATTACACAGTTAATTTTGTTAACTGTGAAAATCCCACCATGTCCAGCACATTCTGGGGAAAACGAAGAACCGTATTGACAGAAGTCACAGAAGAGTCGGATCGATGGGAGGAAAAAAAACATGGAAATTGTGTGACGTCTCTTTTTAAATATGGTAAGTTTTTGAGAAACAATTTTTTTTAAACAGCAGCAAATAGATTGTGATTTCAGATTTTTGCAGGAGTAAGTGTCTTCATTTTGAAGCAATAGAAGGAACCACAGCTTCACAGACCGTGGTGCATATAAGATAAACTCCGTGTAGGCGAGTTTTGTTTCTTTCCTTGTTTTCTAATTATTTATTTATTCTTTAATTTATTTTGAGATGGAGTCTTCCTGTGTTGCAGTGGCCTGATCTCAGCTCACTGCAACCTCTGCCTCCCGGGTTCAAGCGAGTCTCCTGCCTCAGCTTCCCTGAGTAGCTGGGAGCATGGTGGTGCATACCTCATATCCCAGCTACTCGGGAGGCTGAGGCAGGAGACTCGCTTGAACCCGGGAGGTGCAGGTCGCAGTGAGCCGAGATCTTTCCCCTGCACTGGAGCCTGGGAGACACAGCGAGAGTCCGTCAAAAAAAAAAAAAAAAAAGAATTCACCATTGCAATCTTCCACCATACAGGGTGTGTTAGCGATGGTTCTCTAGAGGGACAGAACTAGTGTTTTATATATGTATATTCTATTATACGTATATAAAAATATATATGTTAAATATATTGCATTATATATACACCTTATATATATTTCATTATATATATTATATATTCCATTATAAAAATGCATTATATAGTCCATTATGTATATAAATATATATGTTATATATATTCCATTATATATACATCTTATCTATATATTCTGTTATACATATACATTATATATATTATATTACAAATATGTATTATATATCCATTATGTATATAAACATATGCTATATATATTTCATTATATATACATCTTGTATATATTCCATTATATATACATTATATATTTCATTATAAATATGCATTATACTATTATATATATAAATATATGTTATATATATTCCATTATATATACCTTATATATATTCCATTATATATGTACATTATGTATATTCCATTATAAATATGCATTACATATATTTTATTATATGTGTTATATATATTCCATTATATATACACCTTATCTATATATTCTGTTATACATATACATAATATATATTCTATTACAAATATGTATTATATATCCATTATGTATATAAACATATGGTATATATATTTCATTATATATACATCTTGTATATATTCCATTATATATACATTATATATATTTCATTATAAATATGCATTATATATTCTATTATATATATAAATATATATATTATATATATTCCACTATATATACCTTATATATATTCCATTATATGTGTTATATATATTCTGTTTTATATACACCTTATCTATATTCCATTATATATACATTTTGTATATTCCATTATAAATATGCATTATATATATTCCATTATATGTGTTATATATATTCCATTATATATACACCTTATCTATATTCCATTATATATACATTATGTATATTCCATTATAAATATGCATTATATATATTCCATTATGTGTTATATATATTCCATTATATATACACCTTGTCTATATTCCATTGTATATACATTATGTATATTCCATTATAAGTATGCATTATATATATTCCATTATATATGTTATATATATTCCATTATATATACACATTGTCTATATTCCATTATATATACATTATGTATATTCCATTATAAATATGCATTATATATATTTCATTATATGTTATATATTCCATTATATATACACTTTGTATATTTCAATATATATACATTATATATATTCAGTTATACTTTATATATTCCATTATGTTTATATATTATATATTCCATTATAAATATGCATTGTATATTTTATTATATATAAATATATGTAATTCATATATATTCCATTATGTATGTACCTTATATATATATTCCACTATACATTACATATATTCCATCATAAATATGCATTATATATTCTCATATATATGCATTATATATGCCATTTTTAATATTCATATATACATAAATACATATCAAATATATAAATATATAATAATTTATATATTTATTTAAAATAAATATATAATGTATACATATAAATATATATATAACTTCCACATGTATATATAGGAGCTAATTATTAATTATATATAGATACATATAAAAAGGAAGATATATATATAAGAAAGTTTTATTTATATATATATTTATATATATATATATATAAAGGACTTAATGACTAACTGACACAGTCACAAGGTCCCAACATAGGCCATCTGCAGGCTGAGGGGCAAGGAGAGCCAGTCCGCGTCCCCACAGTGAAGAACTTGCAGTTCAATATTTAAGAGCAGGAAGCGTCCAGCACGGGAGAAAGGTGGAGGCTGTGAGGAGAGGCCAGGCCCTGTTTCACATTTCTCTGCCTGCTTTATACTCCAGCCGTGCCCCCGCGCCCAGCCAGAACTGGAGCATTTGGAAGGTGTAAGTGGACGTGGTGTCTGCCCTCAGGCCCCCTTCTCTCATTAGATGCAGGTCTCGCAGCCTCAGCACTGCTGATGTTTGGGGCTGGAGGCTTCTTTGCTGTGGGCCACCCTGGGTGCTAGAGGGTACTGAGCATCAGTTGTGGGCTCCACCCACCAGGTGCCAGGAGCACCCCCCCACATAGGGACACCAAAGATGAGCGCAGACACTGAATAGTGTTCCCCAACGCGGTCGGGGGACTTGCTCTTGGTTGAGATCTAATGCCATATGCACAAAGGCATAGAGAGATAGATGGGTAGATGAATACATAGATAATAGATGGATAGATAGATGATGGATACATACATGATAGTTGGATAGATAGATGATGGATACATAGATGATAGATGGATAGATAGATGAATAGATGATAGATGGATACATAGATGATGGATAGATAGATGATGGATACATAGATGTACACATAGATAAATGATAGATAATGGATAGATAATAGATGATATATAGATATATGGATACATAGATGAATGATAGATAATAGATGGATAGATAATAGAATATAGATGATGAATAGATAGATGATAAACAGATGAAAGATGGATAGATTATAGAGGGATGGATGATAGATACATGATAGATATATGGATTGATGAATGATAGATAATAGATGGATAGATAATAGAAGATAGATGATGGATAGATGATAAATAGATGATAGACGGGATAAATCGATGATAGATACATGGATACATAGATAGATAAATACCTAGATAGGCAGATACGGATGGCCGGATGCGGTGGCTGACGCCTGTAATCCCAGCAGTTTGCAAAGCCGAGGCAGGTGGATCATGAGGTCAGGAGTTCAAGACCAGCCTGACCAACATGGTGAAACCCCATCTCTAATAAAAATACAGAAATTAGCCGGGCATGGTGGTGTGCCCCTGTAATCGCAGCTACTCAGGAGGCTGAGGCAGGAAAATCTCTTGAACCCAGGAGGGGGGACTTACAGTGAGCTGAGATCACACCACTGCACTCCAGCTTGGGTGACAGAGAAAAACTCCATCTAAACTACAAAGAAAGAAGAAAAGCAATACCTAGATAGATAGATAGATAGATAATAGAATCAGATAGATGATAGATACGTAGATGATAGATACATAGAGAGATAGACACAGATAGATAGAATCAGATAGATGATAGATACATAGATGATAGATAGACACATAGATGATAGATAAATATGTAAAAACACAGATATAGATAGATGATAGATACACAGATAGATGGTAGATAGATTGATAGATATATGATAGATTGATAGATACACAGGTAGGTAGGTAGGTAGAATCAGGTAGATGATAGATAGATAGATAGATAGAAAGATAGATGATAGATACATAGATTGATAGAGACATACATAGGTAGGTAGGTAGAATCAGATAGATGGTAGATACATAGATAGATGATACATAAATAGATATATAGATTGATAGATACATGATAGATACATAGATAGAGAGATGATAGATATATGACAGATGATAGATACATAGATTGATAGATACATCATACATACATAGATGATAGATACATGATAGATGATAGATAGATACATGGTAGAACTCCCAAGTTCTGAGATTACAGGTGTGAGCCACCGTGCCTGTCTGTGTCTGCAGGCATGAGCCACTGTGCCTGACCTTGGTGTAGTATTTTAAAGCAAGCCACACAGGCCAGGCGCAGTGCCTCATGCCTGTGATTCCAGCACTTTGTGAGGCCGAGGTGGGTGGATCACCTGAGGTCGGGAGTTCGAGACCAGCCTGGCCAATGTGGTGAAACCCCATCTCCACTAAAAATACAAAAAAAATTAGCCAGGTGCGGTGGTGGGCACCTGCAATCCCAGCTACTCGGGAGGTTGAGGCAGAGAATCGCTTGAACCTGGGACTTGGAGGTTGCAGTGAGCTGAGATTGCACCACTGCACTCCAGCCTTGGCGACACAAAGAGACTCCATCTCAAAAAAAAAAAAAAAAGAGGCCGGGCGCGGTGGCTCAAGCCTGTAATCCCAGCACTTTGGGAGGCCGAGGCGGGTGGATCACGAGGTCAAGAGATCGAGACCATCCTGGTCAATATGGTGAAACCCCGTCTCTACTAAAAATCCAAAAAAGTAGCTGGGCATGGTGGCGTGTGCCTGTAATCCCAGCTACTCAGGAGGCTGAGGCAGGAGAATTGCCTGAACCCAGGAGGCGGAGGTTGCGGTGAGCCGAGATTGCGCCATTGCACTCCATCCTGGGTAACAAGCGAAAACTCTGTCTCAAAAAAAAAAAAAAAAAAAAAGAAAAATTCAATGAATAAAAAATAAATAAAAATAAAAGGGACCCCAGAGAGCTCCCTTTCCCCTTCCAGCCTGCGAGGACGCAGTGAGAAGGCGCTGTGTGTAAGGCAGGAAGCAGCTTCTCAACAGACTCTGAACCTGCCCTGCGTGGATGTGGGACTTCCAGCGTCCAGAACTGTGAGCAAGCTACGTGTGGCGTTTGTGACCCACCCAGTCGCTGGAGGCGATGGTTCGTAATAAATGTCCCCTAGATGGGATGGAAGGGTGCAAAGGATGACCAATCCTGGGTGTGTCTGTGACACGGTTGCCACAGGAGATGAACATTTGAGTCTGGGGGCTGGGAAAGTCAGAACCACCCTCAATCTGGGTGGGCACCATCTCATCGGCAGCCAGCTTGGCTACAGTATAAGCAGGTAGAAAATATACAGAGGAGACTGGCCTCGCCTCCCAGCCTCCATCTTCCTCCCATGCTGGAGGGTCCCGGCCCTCAGACATCAGACTCCAGATTCTTCAGTTTGGAGATGTGGGCTTGCTGTCCTTGCTCCTCAGCCTGCAGATGGCCTATTATGGGACCTTGTGATTGTGTAAATTAATTCTTAATGAACTCCCCTTCCTCCCTTTCTCTGCTTTCTTTCTCCTCTTCCTTTCTTCTTTCTTTCTTTCTTTCTTTCTTTTTCTTTCTTTCTTTCTTCTCTCTCTCTCTTTCTTTCTCTTTCTCTTTCTTTCCCTTCTTTTCTTCCTTCCTTTCTTTCTTTTTCTCTTTCCCTTCCTTCCTTCCTTCCCTCCCTCACTCCCTCTCTTTTCTCTCCTTCCTTCCTTCCTTCTTTCTTTCTTTCTTTCTTTCTTTCTTTCTTTCTTTCTTTCTCTCTTTCTCTTTCCCTCCTTCCCTCCCTCCCTCCCTCCTTCCTTTCTTTCTTTCTTTCTCTCTTTCTCTTTCCCTCCCTCCCTCCCTCCCTCCCTCCCTCCCCTCCCTCCCTCCCTCCCTCCCTCCCTCCTTTATCTTTCTTTCTTTCTTTCTTTCTTTCTTTCTTTCTTTCTTTCTTTCTTTCTTTCTTTCTTTCTCTCTCTCTCTTTCTCTCTCTCTCTCTCTTTCTTTCTTTTCTTTCACCAGGAAACATTTACAGCTTAATGTGGGGTGTGTCTCTGTAGCCAAGCGTCTGCACACATGCTAATAATGGGAAAAAAAACTGGGTGGGGGGCTCAGTGTTCTCACGCATTACCGAGGAAGGATATTATCGGGGCTTCCTCTGATTCAAGCTGTCATCTTTCTTTACAAGGCAGTTTTAGAGACGCCCTGACACGTACCGTGAGGTGTTACTGTGCGGTTTTTCACGGTTTTGTTTTCTTTATTTACAGGACACACACCCAGAGCCCACACCCAGCACTTGCTGACTCAGAGCTTTCAGTCCTGATGTCTCTGTATGAGCTTTCTAGGGTTCAGCTCTGGGACCGTCTAGAGAAGCAGGGGGCAATGCCACCCCTTTTGTGGAAGTTCTGGGTCTCTCGTGCAGCCTCCAGTTCTCTCTGGAGACCCTAGGGGACTGTCCTCTCTGCCTCTCCCAGCTCCTGGGGGCTCTAGCATCCCTGGGCTTGTGGCCACATCACTGTGCTCTCTGCCTCTCCTTCACCCGTATGTGAAGAACTGTTTCCAGGGACGCCTCCCTGTTACTCGGAGACCAGCTCACAACAGTGGCTTTTAAAAATATTTATTTTTGAGATGGGGCTTCGCTCTTGTCGCCCAGGCTGGAGTGCAATGGCACGATCTCGAGTCACCACAACCTCCGCCTCCCGGGTCACCACAACCTCCGCCTCCCAGGTTCAGGCAATTCTCCTGCCTCAGCCTCCCAAGTAGCTGGGATTACAGGCACACGCCACCATGCCCAGCTAATTTTTTGTATTTTTAGTAGAGACGGGATTTCACGATGTTGACCAGGATGGTCTCGATCTCTTGACCTCGTGATCCACCCGCCTCGGCCTCCCAAACTGCTGGGATTACAGGCTTGAGCCACCGTGCCCGGCCAATTTTTATTTTTTAGATGGAGTTTTGCTCTCATCATCCAGGCTGAAGTGCATTGGCGCGATCTCGGCTCACCGCAACCTCCGCCTCCGGGGTACGAGTGGTTCTCCTGCCTCAGCCTCCTGAGTAGCTGGGACTACAGGCACGCGCCACCAAGCCCAGCTAATTCTTTTGAATTTTTAGTAGAGACGGGGTTTCACCTTGTTGACCAGGATGGTGTCGATCTCTTGACCTCGTGATCTGCCCACCTCGCCCTCCCAAAGTGCTGGGATTACAGGTGTGACCCACCGCACGCGGTGACAGTGGCTCCTTTGTCTGTAGAAACGTGAACATTCAGGCTGGACTGGCCCTGGCAGACCTGGTTCTACGCCAGCCCTGCTCACCTTCACCAGAGACCACAGCTGGGCAGAGGATAGAGGCGGGAACGCTGGCGTGATTCCAGCTCTGCACTTGGGAAGGTGATATGCAGCCTTTTGAAGGAGGGGATGGGGTTCTCAGTTTATGAAGGTGACGTCCAGGGCCCACAGTTCTTGGTACTTTATAAGTAACCCTGGTCCTGGCCAGGCGTGGTGGCTCGAGCATGTAATCCCTTTGGGAGGCCGAGGCAGGCAGATCACTTGAGTTGAGGAGTTCAAGACCAGCCTGACCAACATGGTAAAACCCCGTGTCTACTAAGAATACAAAAATTAGCCGGGAGTGGTGGCACATGCCTGTAATCCCAGCTACTCAGGAGGCTGAGGCAGGAGAATCACTTAAACCTGGGAGGCAGAGGTTATGGTCAGCTGAGATTGAACCACTGCACTCAGGCCTGGGTGATAGAGTGAGACTTCATCTCAAAAAAAAAAATATATATATATACACACACACACACACACACACACACACACTAGCCAGGCATGGTGACAGACACCTGTAATCCCAGGTACTCAGGAAGCTGAGGCAGGAGAATCACTTGAGCCTGGGAAGTGGAGGTCGCAGTGAGCTGAGATCATGCCGTTGCACTCCAGCCTGGGCCACAGAGCAAGACCCTGTCTCCAAAAAAAAGAAACAAGAGCATTACATGGGCATTATTACCCCAGGAGCCCTCATCTGACTCGAGTGACCACATCTGGGGGGATTGGGGCCAAACGGCCCTCCCTGACATCCAGCCCAGGACACACTGGGACTCCCGAAATGGCCCCTCCAGGAACCAGCATGTTGCACTTTCCCACATGACAGCTTCAGAGTGGATTAAACGTGTGTGTGTTTGTATGCATTTGCTGGGGCTGCTGAAATGAATTTCCCAGAAACTGAGGACTTAACACACGTTTATTCTCCTGCAGTGGAGGGGAGCAGAAGTCTGAAGTACAGGGGTCTCAGGGGTCTGCTCCCTCAGGAGAGTCTTGGAGAGGGTCCTTCCTGCCTTTCCAGCTCCTGGGGCTCCAGCATCCCTGGGCTTGCGGCCCCATCACTTCAGCCTCTGCCTCCATTCACAGGTTCTTAGGTTACAATATAAACATATCTTTTGGGAAGTACCATAGTTCAATCCACTTCAATTGTATCCAGTTCCCTCTGGAGGGTCTAGGGGAGGATGCTTCCTGCCTCTCCCGGCTCCTGGGAGCTCCAGCATCCCTGGGCTTTTGGCCCCATCACTGCAGTCTCTGCCTCCATTCACAGGTTCTTGGGTTAGAACATGAACGTATCTTTTGGGGGTATCAGTTCAATCCACTTCACTTGTATCCAGTTCCCTCTGGAGGGTCCAGGGGAGGAAGATTTCTGCCTCTCACAGCTCCTGGGGGCTCCAGCATCCCTGGGCTTGCGGCCCCATCACTTTCATAGGCCACTCACTCCATCTGCACGTGGCCTCCCCCTGTCTTCATGTCTTCATCTCCCCCTCACTCTCTCATAGGGACACTGGACTGGGCCCATTCTGAATCCGTTTGTGATGACCCTGTTTTCAAACACGGTCCCATCCTGATGTTATGGAGAACATTAATTTTGGGGGGGAGGGGACATCAGTCACTGCACTGCTAAACCATCCCTGTTTTCTCTCCATAGAGATGATGGCAGGGAAAAGACAGCAACAGACAGCCTCAGAACATCAGCTTCAGCCTCCATCAGCCTCCCCCAGGCCCAGAAACGGAGGGGCCGGGCATTGAAAGCCACCCACGATAGAGCCCCTGGGCAGACGGCCAGCTCGCCCCTTCCAGCCTCCAGAAGCCTGTTTCTCTCAGGAGAGCCTGGAATTGAATTCCATATACCCTTCCGACCCCCATGGCGAGCGGGAGCTGGGCTTTTGCCCAAAGCGGCTCAGGTCCTGAGGCTGATGCAGGGGTGTCTGGGGTCGAGGGAGAAAGACCGAGACACACCCTGCTCACTACTCACACAGCGCGGGGAGGGGGCCTCGGTGGCTGATACGCCTGCAGGTTCCTGGGGTCCACACCTGTGTCTGGTTTTCAGTCCCCAAATGGTCTTGTGGGTCAGGCCCGTTGCCTGCTCCCCAGACACTGGACGGATGTGGGATGGCTGAGGCCCTCCGTGGGGTAGAGTCATTAGAAATGAAATAGTCTGTCCTTGTTCCTCTGCAAGAAGAGTTACAGCCACAACAACCACAGTGACCCTGAGTGGCAGAAATTGAAATGTTGGGGTACACCAGGCTCCGGAGACCAGAACCCCAGGGGCAGAATGGAGAAGTCCCAGACCACAGCTAAAGGGCAGCGTGAGCAAGGAGAGGAGCTGGGAACGGTGCTTGCAGGCCGCCCAGTGAAAATAGCTGGAAACTGAGTGGTTGCAGCAGGGCTGCTGGAACGTCCACACTTAGAAGGAGGGTCCAAGGAGCCGGGGGTGAAACCCCATCTCCACTAAAAATACAAAAAAATAGCCAGGCACGGTAGCTCTTGCCTGGTCATTCCAGCACTTTGGGAGAGCGAGGTGAGCAGATCACCTGAGGTCAGAAGTTCCAGACCAGCCAGGCCAACATGGAGAAACCCCATCTCTACTAAAAATACGAAATTAACCGGGTGTGGTGGTGGGTGCCTGTAATCCCAGCTAATCGGGAGGCTGAGGCAGGAGAATCACTTGAACTCCGGGGGCAGAGGTTGCAGTGAGCCGAGATCGCACCACTACACTCCAGCCTGGACGACAAGAACGAGACTCCATCTCAAAAATGTTTATATATATATATATATAATATATACCTAATATCAAAATATATATATTATATAATACATGTAATATATAAAAATATATACATAATTTCAAAATATATAATATATACCTATTGTGAGATTATGTATTTTTATATAACACACATATATCATGTACCTATTTATATGTATTAGCCGGGCATGGTGGCACACACTGTCCTTCAGCTGAGGCAGGAGAATCGCTTGAACCCAAGAGGTGGAGGTTGGAGGGAGATGAGATGGTGCCGCTGCACTCCGGCCTGGCAACAAGAGCGAAACTCCCCTCAAAAAAGCAAAAAAATACAAAAATCAGCCAGGCATGGTGGCACACGCTGTCCCTCAGCACTGCCAGGCAGAGCCACCGAAAGCTGCCACCCTCTGCAGCAGAACAAAGCGCCCCTTGCCACTCTCTGCGCTTTGCTTCCTTCCCTACCATGAGTGAAGCTTGGAGACCGTTCCCCACCTGGCGTCTGCAGTGCCTGGGAAGAAGGTATCTGCCCTCTCTGAACCTCCGGGACTGGGACCATGGCCTCTCCATGCGCCCCGGCTCTCCAAGCTGCTTCCCCTGGCTCTCCAAGCTGCGCCCCTGGCTCTCCAAGCTGCGCTGCGGGTTCCCCAAGCTGCGTCCCCGGCTTTCCAAGCTGCTTCCCCTGGCTCTCCAAGCTGCGTCCCAGTACTCAGAACTCGCTCTCCTGCCTCTTAAGACTGGGCCTGGAGGCTCCCTCCAGCCCCTCTGGGCGCGCGCCAGCCTCGGAGCGCATAGACGTGGTCCTGGCGGAGAAGAGGCTCTCGGGGCGAGCGTCCAGGGGATCCGCGGGCACCCAGGCGCATCCCAGGTGCTCCCAGAGGCGCAGCTGGAATTCCCGGGACGCGAAGTAATACACGAAGGGGTCCAGGCAGTTGTTGAGGCAGCTGAGACACAGCGTGAGCTTGTAGACGTGGTATTAGCTCCTGTCATAGAAGAGACGCCCCACGATGTGCGCCAGGAGCACGAAGCAGGTGACGAAGGCCAGCACGGCTGCCAGGCCCACCACGCGCCTGCGCACTGCCTGGAAGGAACGCAGCCTGGAGACCCTTCCCTCTTCCCCACCGATGCTTCTGCAGTGCCTGGGAAGGATGCTCCTGCCCTCTCTCAACCTCGGGGGCCATGGCGTCTCCATGAGCCTTGGTTCTCCATGTGCCCTGGCTCTCCAAGGGGCTTTCCCCGGCTCTCCAAGCTGCACCCGCGGCCCTCCAAGCTGCGTCCCCCAGCCCTCCAAGCTGCGTCCCCCGGCTCTCCAAGCTGCGCCCCAGGACTCAGAACTCGCTCTCCTGCCTCTTGAGGCTGGGCCTGGAGGCTCCCTCTGGCCCTTCTGGGCGCGCGCCGGCCTCCGAGCGCACAGGCGTGGTCCTGGCGGAGAAGAGGCTCTCTGGGAGAGCGTCCAGGGGGTCCGCGGACACCCAGGCGCATCCCAGGTACTCCCGGAGGCGCAGCTGGAATTCCCGGGACGCGAAGTAATACACGAACGGGTCCAGGCAGTTGTTGAGGCAGCTGAGACACAGCGTGAGCTTGTAGACGTGGTAGTAGCTCCTGTCGTAGAAGAGACGCCCCACGATGTGCGCCAGGAGCACGAAGTTGTTGGGGGCGAAGCAGGTGACGAACGCCAGCAGGACCACCGCGGCCAGGCCCACCGCGCGCCTCCGCTGCCCCAGGCCGTGCGCCTCGTCCGTGCGCAGCAGCTTCAGGATGGTGGCCGTGTAGCAGGCCACGGTCACCAGGAAGGGGATGAGGAACAGCAGGATGAAGATGGTGAAGAGAAACACGGCCCACATGGCCAGGTTGGGCAGCATGGACCACTTGAGGACGTCAAAGCAGGTCACGATGCCCAGGGCGTGCACTGGGTAGGTGAGGTCCGTGCGCGCCAACGGAGAGAGCGCGGCCAGCAGCAGCAACCAGGTCCCGGCGCACGCGGCCACCGCGTACCTGCGGCGCCTCCAGCGCCTGGAGCTCAGCGGGTACAGGACGCCCAGGAAGCGCTCCACGCTGATGAAGGTCATGGTGAGGATGCTGGAGTACATGTTGGCGTAGAAGGCCACCGTGACCACGTTGCACAGGAGCACCCCGAACACCCAGTGGTGGCGGTTGTAGTGGTAGTAGATCTGGAACGGGAGCACCGCGGCCAGCATCAGGTCGGTGACGCTCAGGTTGATCATGAAGATGACGGACTGGGAGCGCGGCCCGATGCGCCGGCACAGCACCCACAGCGAGAACAGGTTCCCTGGGATGCTGACCAGCGCCACCAGCGAGTACACTGCTGGCAGGGCCACTGCGATGGCCGGGTTGCGCAGCATGTCCAGCGTCGCGTTGTCCGGGCCCGCGCTGCCGTTCGCGGGGGGCTGCATCCTGGGGACGGCTCCGCTGTCCCCACCGGGGCCTGCGAGGGAACGGGGTGAGGTCAGGGCCGAGGGAAGGGACGGGCCTGGGCGCTGAGGCTGGGAGTGAGGGGTGGAAACGCTCTGCGAGCATCCCTGTCTCCTCCTGCCCACCCTCTGTCCCGCTCCGTCCCTCCCTCCCTCTATTTCTTCCTCCTTTTCTCCCTCCTTCCCTCCCTTCCTCTTTTATTCCCTCCCTCCATCTCCTCCTCCCTCCCTCCCTGCCTCCCTCCATCTCCTCCCTTCCTCCATCTCCTCTTCCCTCCTCCCTCCCTCCTTCCATCTCTTCCCTCCCTCCCTCCATCTCCTTCTCCCTCCTCCCTCCTTCCATCTCTTCCCTCCCTCCCTCTATCTCCTTCTCCCTCCTCCCTCCCTCCATCTCTTCCCTCCCTCCATCTCCTTCTCCCTCCTCCCTCCCTTCATCCCCTTCCTCCCTCCCTCCCTCCATCTCCTCCTCCCTCCCTCCATCTCCTCCTCCCTCCCTTCATCTCCTCCTCCCTCCCTCCCTGCCTCCCTCCATCTCCTCCCTCCCTCCCTTCATCTCCTCCTCCCTCCATCTCCTCCCTCCCTCACTCCATCTCCTCCTCCCTCCCTCCCTCCCTCCATCTCCTCCCTCCCTCCCTCCCTTCCTCCCTTCATCTCCTCCTCCCTCCCTCCCTGCCTCCCTCCATCTCCTCCCTCCCTCCCTCCCTCCATCTCCTCCCTCCCTCCCTCCATCTCCTCCTCCCTCCATCTCCTCCTCCCTCCATCTCCTCCCTCCGTCACTCCATCTCCTCCTCCCTCCTCCCTCCCTCCATCTCCTCCCTCCCTCCCTCCCTCCATCTCCTCCCTCCATCTCCTCCCTCCCTCCCTCCATCTCCTCCCTTTATCTCCTCCCTCCCTCACTCCATCTCCTCCTCCCACCATCTCCTCCCTCCCTCACTCCATCTCCTTCTCCCTCCCTCCCTGCCTCCATCTCCTCCCTCCCTCCCTCTATCTCCTTCTCCCTCCTCCTTCCCTCCATCTCTTCCCTCCCTCCATCTCCTCCTCCCTTCTCCCTCCCTTCATCTCCTTCCTCCCTTCCTCCCTCCATCTCCTTCTCCCTCCTCCCTTCCTCCATCTCTTCCCTCCCTCCATCTCCTCCTCCCTCCTCCCTCCATCTCCTCCCTCCCTCCCTTCATCTCCTTCCTCCCTCCTTTCCTCCCTTCCTTCATCTTCTCCTCCTTCCTTCCCTCTCCCCCTCCCTTCATTCATTTCTTCCTTCCCTCTTTCCTTCTGTCTTTCCTCTTTCTTCTTTCTCCTTCCTTCCCTTCAGCTTTTACTTCCTTCCTCCCTCCCTCCTTTTTCCCTTCCTCCCTTCATTTTTCCTTCCTTACTTCCTTTCTTCCTTCCTCTCTTTCCCTCCCTTCCTCCTTCCTTCTTTCCCTTCCTTTTTCCCCTTCCTACCTCCCTCCCTTTTTCTTCCCTGTTTTTCTTCCACCAAGTAACTAAGTGTCTGTAAATATCAAGCACTCTGCCTCACACAGGAAAGCTCACAGAACAAATAAAAACCACCCACCAGAGGAGCACCCAGAACATGGCTTCACAGAAACACAGGTTGCTCCAGGACCCCCATCACCAGAGCACCAGAAACAGGGCTTCACAGAGACACAGGCTGCTCCAGGACCCCCATCACCGGAGCACCAGAAACAGGGCTTCACAGAGACACAGGCTGCTCCAGGACCCCCATCACCGGAGCACCCAGAACACGGCTACACAGAGACACAGGCTGCTCCAGGACCCCCATCACCAGAGCACCAGAAACAGGGCTTCACAGAGACACAGGCTGCTCCAGGACCCCCATCACCGGAGCACCCAGAACACGGCTACACAGAGACACAGGCTGCTCCAGGACCCCCATCACCAGAGCACCAGAAACAGGGCTTCACAGAGACACAGGCTGCTCCAGGACCCCATCACCGGAGCACGCAGAACACGGTTGCACAGAGACACAGGCTGCTCCAGGACCCCCATCACCGGAGCATGAAGAACATGGCTACAGAGAGACACAGGCTGCTCCAGGACCCCCATCCCTGGAGCACCCAGAAACAGGGCTGCAGAGACACAGGCTGCTCCAGGACCTCTGGGAGCAGCCAGACCCGGGGTGGGGCTGACGGGAACTCAGTGGCCTGCCACTCCCTGTGGGTGCAGGGACCCAGGGTCAGCGTCCACCTGGCCCTTCCTTCGCTCCTCACTTCCACTTGGAAACGCAGAGAGCGTGCTGCAAAGGATGGCACAGTGGCTTCCCCACGGGGACCGTGAGGATGGTGGGACATTCAGCACTTATAGAGTCACAGAGACTGGCTCTCAAAGAAACTTTCTTGGCCGGGTGCTGTGGCTTGTGCCTGTAACCCCAGCATTCTGGGAGGCCGAGGCAGGTGGATGGTGAGGTCAAGAGCTCGAGACCAGCCTGGCCAACATGGTGAAACCCCGTCTCTATTAAAAATACAAAAATTAGACGGGCACAGTCGTGGCGGGCGCCTGTAGTCCCAGCTACTCAGGAGGCTGAGGCAGGAGGATCACACTTGAACCCAGAGGGGGAGGCTGCAGTGAGCTGAGATCGCACCATTGCCCTCTAGCCTGGGCGACAGAGCGAGACTCCGTCTCAAAAAAGAAAAGAAAAGAAAGAAGGAAAGTTTGTTTGCACCTGCAACATATTTGCTTTTGCTCCCTGCTGTCCCAGGCAGAATCTGACTGCTTTGAGGTCTGGTTCTCCATTTCCACCTGCCATGAAGAAGCTGGGGTGCCCCCACCTCATGGGCTGTCTGGGTGTCTTCAGGATCCCGGGGTACGGAGGCTGTCTGCCGTGCACCACGTGGAGGTGCTGTGCCTCCAGCCTTCACATCCCACATGAGCCTGGCTCTGCTCCCTGAGACTTCTGCCTCTGTCCTTTTCTTTCCCTCCTGTCCTTCCCTTCCTTTTCTTTTCTGATGAAGCCTCGCTCTGTCACCCAGGCTGGAGTGCAGGGGTGCAATCTCGGCTCACTGCAACCTCCACCTCTTGGGTTCAAGTGATCCTCCTGCCTCAGCCTCCCAAGTAGCTGGCATGCAGGCACCAGCCACCACTCCCAGCTAATTTTTTGTATTTTCATTTTTAATTAATTAATTATTTTTTTAAGACGGGGTTTCACCATGTTGGCCAGGCTGGTCTTGATCTCCTGACCTCATGATCTGCCCACCTAGGCCTCCCAAAGTGTTTGGACTGCAGGCGTGAGCCACTGTGCCCGACCAATTTTTTGTATTTTTAGTAGAGATGGGGTTTGACCATGTTGGCCAGGCTGGTCTCAAACTCTTGACATCAAGTGATCCACCTGCCTCAGGCTCCCAAAGGGTTGGGATTACAGGTGTGAGCCACCGTGCCTGGCCTATTTTTTTTTCTGACAAAGTTTCACTCTTGTGGGCCAAGGTAGAGTGCAATGGTGTGATCTCGGCCCACTGCAATCTCCACCTCCTGGGTTCCAGCGAATCTCCTGCCTCAGCCTCCCGAGTAGCTGAGATTACAGGTGCCCACCACCACGTCTGGCTAATTTTGTATTTTTAGTAGAGATGGGGTTTCACCACCTTGACCAGGCTGGTCTCGAACTCCTGACCTCATGATCCGCCAGCCTCGGCCTCCCAAAGTGTGGGATGACAGATAAGAGCCACTGCACCTGGCTGACGCTGAGACTCTGAGAAGACCCAGAACGGGGCTGGAGGCTGCCCTGGGCAGCTTCAGGAGGTACAAACCTCAGGACCAGACTCACTGGCCCCCCATGGATAGAAACAACAAAACAACCCGCAGCCCCCAGCCGGGTCCTCCTGTGAATTCCTCGCACCCCCTGAGCACTAGCCTGGGTGTTAACCCTTTCGTCTTAGGTACATCTCCCCCAAAGCGTCTATCAGCAGAAAACACACAATCCAAGTCTAGCTTTTAGCTCCTGTGTTATTCCCCGGCTCTGCCCTCCTGCTTCTTCCTACAGAGGAGACCTGTACCTTCTTACCAACTGCTGTGCAAAGAACTTCCTCTAACTGCTTTTAAAATGGCCCAGAGTTTCCGTTTCGGGGTGAAGTTCTCTGCCCTGCATGTGTGAGGTTTATGCAAGGGTCAGTGTCGCTCCCCACGGCCAGCTGGGTACCTTCAGCCACCCGTGGCTGCAGGAGGAAAAGAGGACCCTGGATTCTCGGGGTTCTACTTGGTGCTGCTGTGAAGGGTGTCAGAGAAACACTATTTTTATTTTGAGAATATAAATGGGGCCTGGTGGCTCACACTGGCAATCCCACTGGACTTTGGGAGGCCGAGGCGGGCAGATCACGAGGTCAGGGGTTTGAGACCAGCTTGGCCAACATGGTGAAACCCCGTTTCTACTAAAAACACAAAAAATTAGCTGGACACATCTGTAGTCGCAGCTACGTGGGAGGCTGAGGCAGGAGAACTGCTTGAACCCGAGAGGCGGAGGTTGCAGTGAGCTAAGATTGCGCCACTGCACTCCAGCCTGGGAGGCAGAGTGGGACTCCATCTCAAAAAAAAAATAAATAAAATAAATAAAATGGGGCCAGGTGCGGTGGCTGACGGCTGTCATCCCAGCACTTTGGGAGGCCGAAGCAGGCAGATCACCTGAAGTCAGGAGTTCAAGACTAGCCTGACCCACATGGTGAAACCCTGTCTCTTAAAAAAAAAGTAAAAATAGGGCTGGGTGCGGTGGCTCACGCCTGTAATCCCAGCACTTTGGGAGGCCGAGGCGGGTGGATCACGAGGTCAAGAGATCGAGACCACCCTAGTCAACATGGAGAAACTCTGTCTCTCTTAAAAAAACAAAAATTAGCTGCGCATGGTGGCGTGCACCTGTAATCCCAGCTACTCCGGAAGCTGAGGCAGGAGAATTGCCTGAACCCAGGAGGCGGAGGTTGCGGTGAGCCGAGATTGCACCATTGCACTCCAGCCTGGGTAACAAGAGTGAAACTCCGTCTCAAAAAAAAAAAAGTAAAAATAAAATGGCAGAGCTAGAAATAGGACTGCCCTGGAATTGTTTCTTTGTTTCTTGTTTTATAGAGATGGAAGCTTGCTGTGTTGGCCAGGCTGGCACGAGGGACTCAAGCAATCATCCTGCCTCAGCCTCCTGAGTAACTGGGACTACAGGTGAGTGTCACCATGCCCTGTTAATATTTTTATTTTTTGTAGACAGGGGGTTTTGCTATGTTGTCCAGGCTGGTCTCAAAGTC